TTGAACGTACTTATTCGCGGTGGTCCCCTTTTAGTCCTCCGCGTCCCTTTCCGTCTACTTGACCTCTGTTTTGCCCTTTCCATTGCTTGTTGTGGACCTGCCTTGGTTTTGCCTTTCTTTGTTGTTCCTTTGACGCTGGACATTTGGACATTCGACATTTGTTTTGGATCTCGAGTAACCAGGTACTGGAACCGTTCGTGTACGTTATTAGCCTGCATAGCCTGTTTAGGACTTATATTATTGCGTGCTTACCAGGTCGATTGCTAACAGCCACAGCCTTACCCATGGCTGAAGCAAGAGGTGCCGCCTCGCTGGCGAGTGACGACACAGCAGCGGCGCCACATACATTAGCACAAGCAGAGACTGCGTCGTCGAAATCGAGCAGCGCACTCGACAAAGAGACGGAGGCCGAAAAGGAGACTCGCCAAGATGACGAAAGAGACGAGGAAAAACGCCATGCACGAGAAATACGCGCTCAGGAACTCGAGCAGCAGGCCGTTGACGAAGGCCACGACGCCGACATCCCCTCGAGCATAGGCTATGTCCTGGACGAGCGTGGCGAGGCGAAGCGCCGCAAGTCGATTGCCGACCGGAGCCGCCCGACGACAGCCAAGGGCGCATCCAAAGAGACGGCCTCAGCTGTTGCTGACGCAGACGTGGAAAAGGGCTTGGCCGGTGACGCAAAGCCAGACGGCGACGCAAGCGGACAAGACGAAGAACAAGAGCACGACCCGAATGTGGTCTGGTGGGACGGCCCCGACGACCCTCAGAATCCCTTCAACTGGCCCACCTGGCACAAGGCGCTCAACTGCACGCTCATCAGCGCGCTCACATTCATCACGCCGCTCGCGTCGTCCATCTTTGCGCCGGGCGTGCCGGCCCTCATGGCCGAGTTCCACAGCGACAGCAACGAGCTGGCCGCCTTTGTCGTGTCCGTGTACGTGCTGGGCTTTGCCTTTGGTCCGCTGCTGATTGCGCCGCTGTCGGAGATTTACGGGCGCAACATTGTCTACCACGTCTGCAACGTGTGCTTCATTGCCTTTGTGGTCGGCTGCGCGCTGGCGCCGTCGCTCAACACCCTGATTGCCTTCCGCTTTCTGTCCGGCGTCTTTGGCTCGTGCCCGCTCACCAACGGCGGCGGCTCCATTGCCGACATGGTCTCCCAAGAGCACCGCGGCGCCGCCATGGCCAGCTTCGCCGTCGGCCCGCTGCTGGGCCCCATCATCGGCCCCGTGGCCGGTGGGTTCCTGGCGAGTGCCAAGGGCTGGCGCTGGGTGTTTTGGCTGCTCGTCATCCTCTCGGGCTTTCTGTCGGTCGTCTTCTTCTTCTCCATGCGCGAGACGTACGCGCCGCTGCTGCTCGAGCGCAAGGCCCGCCGTCTGCGCAAGGAGACGGGCAACCCGCTGCTGCGCAGCAAGCTCGATGCCGGGCTCACGTCGGCCGACTACTTTCAGCGCGGCATCTTCCGCCCGCTCAAGATGCTGGCCTTTTCGCCGATTGTGCTCATCTTTGCGCTGTACATGGCCGTTGTCTATGGGTACCTGTACCTCATGTTTACCTCCGTCACCGAAGTCTTCCAGTCCACCTACGGCTTCGGCACCAACACGGTCGGTCTCGTGTATCTGGGCCTCGGCGTGGGCTCCATGGCCGGCATGGTCTTTTTCAGCGCCATGTCCGACCGCTACACGCGGCGCATGGCCGCCAAGGAGGGCCAGGGCATGAAGCCAGAGTACCGCCTGCAGATGCTGCCCCTGGGGGCCGTTCTGCTGCCCATTGGCTTCTTCATTTACGGCTGGACCGCCGAGTACCACAAGCACTGGATCGCGCCCATTCTGGGCATGGTCGTCATTGGCTTTGCCAACCTGGTCATCTTTATGAGCCTGCAGCTGTATCTGGTGGACGCCTTCACCATCTACGCCGCCTCCGCCCTCGCCGCCAACACGGTTGTGCGCTCCATCGCGGGTGCTGTGTTGCCGCTGGCCGGCCTGCAAATGTACGCCAAACTGGGCCTGGGATGGGGCAACAGTCTGCTGGGGTTCATTGCCCTGGCTCTGGTGCCGGCGCCGTTCTTCATCAACAAGTACGGCGAGTACCTGCGCAAGCGCTTTGAGATTAAGGACTTGTAGTGGGCGGGGGAAAAAGCCCATTCCTGTATTGCTATTCCTGCATTACCTAGTTTCTTTTTGACTTTTGGTCCGATTCCATCGTCGTCATGTTCTGCCTTTGATTGCATTGCTTGCGAATATACACCAGATAGACAGCATTGGACATGAAAAAGCATGCATATTGTTTCATCGGCCTTTCGCCAGCTTTTCGTCAGATCCGCGCCGTCTCCTCCAGTGGCAGGCGCCCACACGTCTTATGCCTTGCGCCCCGACCGTCGATCTCTGGACTGAACAAATTCCGGTAAAATAAAATCAAGGGCTGAGTGATGGGCACCAGCAAAATGGGCGATCGCAGCTGATGTGCGACTGTCCTATGCTCTCCAGAGTCGACGGAGAACGAGAAACCAAGAGATCCGGGTCGACAAGTAAAGATGTAAAGATGCTGCACTGAAACATCTGGCAGGATCGTCACCAGTGGAGTCCAACCGAAGAGCAACAATTGAGCAAGGTGTCTCTGCCACGTTTAGTGGATGTCTGTTTTGTTTGCACATCAATGTAAACAGAACACGAAACTTTTGCCAACTCACAATCCCATGATCTGCTTTTTCTGTGGTGGTGACGACGGTCACTTTTTATCGCAGTTGAAAGATGGCCACCACGAAAAAGAACACGTATTTATAGGATAAACAGGACAAGACGGCACATGATGCAAGATGGGAGACCCTGAGGAATAAAGGTAACATAAGAAAAGACGAAATAAGCATTGCAAATATCGGCAGTCGTCATTTCGTCATTTCGTCATTTCCCCAGAAACGTCGCTTCTTTTTGCGCCATTGTCATGCACTTTTCGTCTTGTCCCGCGACCTTGTTCGCTCCTTTCATCTCGACAACACAACGGACTGTCGTTGACCGCCGTCTCAGTCTGTGTCTCGGATCGTGTTTGATCGGTGCCGTGGATGGCTCTTTTGGTTGTTGATCGGCACGTGCCACTCGATTTGTGGCTTGGCGGGGTTTAGGGCATGGCTGAATCCAGCAGAACTCGCTAAAGCTCACTTATACGGGTGCAGCCGCCGCTACTGTAGTCCGCCCACGCAACGGACCCTGTCGCCACTTGCGGCAGGCACTTTGATGACCACCTACCAACTTTCGAAAGCCAGATTTGCTCCCTAACTTATGCTTGTTTTGTTTTTAACCGGATTTTAAACCAGAATTCGACTGTTTTTTTGTATCCGCTGGTCGCTCCTTTCGTTGTCTACCGCCAAGCCAATCGTTCTGGACCGAGAGGGAGGAAATCTTATATGTTATTCGCCCCATTCAAGACGTAGAAGTGTCATATCATAAAGCGACGCAGCGTTATGTCTCAACGTAGTGTACTCGCTTTCCCCATACTAGCACAAAAGCACTACGTGTCGTGTACGATTGTCGCCTTTCAATTGTTCTAGAAGGCCAGCAGGGACTCATTGGGGCTGCTCCAAGCAACTTCTGCAACTGCAACATTAGACGGCGTCTGCGACTTCCGTAGGCGAGGACGGGCCTCTTGCCGATTTATCAACCAAAGCACATCTTGACTCGGCCCCTCTCGCACGCTTTCCCCGTCTTCTGCAACGTCACCTCTTTCGGCTCAACCTTCTCTTGTTTCTCCGGCCCCTGTCATTGTGTCTGCATTGGCCACTTCAAGCACCTCGTCCCCCCCCTCCCCTGCTTGGCGTTCCTGAAACTGACATTAAAAGACAGCAGAGCACGTAATCATCTGACCAAAAGGTGCATGGGTGCCTCTCCAAGAGCCAAGTTCGTTTAAGCCAAGAAATGTGTGAGCTCCGTTTTTTCATACTTTTCGTCTAGGGTTATTATATTTTATTATATTTCTTTCAACTCTTTGTCGGTCATGCTCTGCAGGTTCATATCGATTCAAAGCTTAGTATATGTGCTATGTGTCGGTCTATGACTACAGCCATCGCAGCCACTGTACTGTCCTCGCCTAAATATGCCAAAATCACGTCACAGTAAGCCGCCCGACACGGCAGGACACGCCTCCCCGTTTTCTGATGAGCCGCAATTGCACTCTGCACTCTGCACTCTGCATTCGGCTGTCTCAGTGGTCCTGATCGTGCAGCCTTGGTGTCTGTGGTTTCCGGGTTGTTGGTACAGGCAGTCTGGGCCGTGTTTTAGCCTCACACCCCCTGGGCTGGGCCGCGCTCAGAGAGCCTCACTGAGCCTCTTTGGGTCGCACTGAACCGAATCGGAATGGCAAAGACGCAACATGCATTTCTGCCCCCCTTTGCCATGCTCTTCCGCTGGTCTTCCGATGTCAAAAATCCAAAACCCAAAACCATCCCCCCTCCTTGACACACCCCCCGTTTTCTCTTTTCTTTTCATCCCAAGCGAAGCCCACCAGCGAGATCCCTGACGCTAGTCCAGGCTGCTGGCAGCCGTCAAAACCATCAACAAAAAAAAAAAAAACAGTCCAAAGTCAATCGTATGATCGTCATCCCACGGGGCTGTCGGTAATTCGGCTGTAGCTGCGAAAACGGCCCCTGTCTTTCATTGTCGTGACCCATCCTGTCGTTTCCCTTTTGGGTTTCTCTTTGCCGCCAGCGTCAACTGCCTCGTCCATCATGGCGTTGCGTGAGAAAATCAGATCTGTATATAAAAGGTCATTTACCCGGCCATCTTGTCTGCTCGTCTTTTTTGTTTTGTACCTCGTCTTCCTCAGCAACAACTTCTCTTTCCCTTCAGTCTTTACCATAGTTCTGTGAACTAGTTTCTTTCTCTTCTTAGTCGTTCTTTTCAACTTTTCTTCTATACTTTACACTCTTTCACCGCGAGCCGGTCTCTTCATTCTTTTACGCTTCTCGTTTAGTTTTATTCGTATCGGTTTCCCTTTCCACTCTCAAAATGCACTCCCAGACGTTGTTTGTGGCTGCCCTCGTGGCTGCCGCCGAGGCCCGCTTCGGCGCGGAACAGCGCCCTGTCGCCGCCATCGCCGCCCTCACCAACCGCGGCAAGCCCGGTGATGCCGGCACGCTCTCAGGCCAGGTGCCGGGCGTGTTGCTTGCGGGCGCCAACGCTTGTGCCAAGCTCACCCTGGCCGACACCATCATCACTACCCTGGGCAGCACGCCCGATGTGGTTTCCGCCGCCGCCGCACTCGTGGCCGCCGAGAAGAACTTCAACCCTTTCGCGGTGTCGATCCCTTCGCTGTGCTCCGACGTGACGCTCCCGGTCACCGAGGTCCTGCGCGGCATTGTCCCGCTGATCGACCCGGCTGTCGTCGGCAGCGACATTGAGAACGCCAACTCGGCCTCGTCGCTGCTCAACCCCTTTGCTGCCGGCGGTCTCAGTGTCGCCGACGTTGTTGCCGCCAACGGCTTCACCAACTTTTCGACGCAGGCTGTCGATGGCTCGACGGGTGCCGCTGCCGTGTCGGTCACCGCTGCGTTGGTCACTGCGGCCTCGACCGCCACAGCCTCGGCCGCTGCCACTACCCTGGTGACGTCCGTCGTTGCTGCTTCGGCTTCCTCAGTGGCCTCCGTCGGCGCCGCTGGTGCTGCTTCGTCCACGGGCGCTGCCGGTCCCGTTGTCAACGGCGTGCAGCAGTCGACCATTGCCGGCCTCGACTTCGGCCTGTGCGTGCCCACAATCAAGTTCGAGGCTGGTCTCGACGGCCGCAAGGCCACCGAGTTCACCTTCCAGGCCATCGATCCTCTTGTCAACAAGGGCCAGGAGGAGGCACTGAACCCCAACATCATCACGAAGCGCATCTCGGACCAGCTGACCAACGTGTGCAACGCGAACCAGGCGGCCAAGGATGCGGCCAAGGCGGCCGTGGCGCAGATTTCGGCGCTGGGCACCAAGGACCAGTCGACGGCCGATGCCTGGAACACGGCCCTGGGCTTCGCGGGCACCAACACCAACCCCGACAATGCGCCCCAGCCTGGTCTGGTCGGCCACACCTAAGCGAGCTGATGAACGAATTGTGGCGGCTCGGTGTGAAGCGGGCTCTGGCGTTCGGTTGGTGAGTAAGGGCAGGGCCTGCCGTGTTCTGTACTAGTACTGCGTCTCGCGTCTTGTGCCTCTTTGCGTGGTTTGACGACTTATGCCTCCCGAGTGCTCTGTACTTGTTCCGTTTCCTATGATGACTGGGGATATCGCGTTGACGGGCGTTTTAGTTTCGGCGTTTCTCTGCAGGATTTTTGACTTCTTTCTTTTTTCTTTTTCTTTTTTTTTCTTCTGTCTCTTAGAAATAACAGCAAATGGACGTTCTTTGGACAGATCTCTTGGTCACAAATGCCCTATTCGCGCGACTAACCACGTAAATGAGCCAACCGTCTCTCCTCGGCGTGCTCTCGTGTCCTCGTCTGCTTCTCAATAACGGAGCATACTCTCATCAAGGACGCCTCATCGTACTTTCGGGCGATCGCTGAAACACCGTAGGGTACATTGGGCCCTGTCGCAACGAGCCGCCCTGTGTCATTGCGCTTAACTTTCGGGGAGTCGCGGTATCCGAGAGGCAAGGTAACTTGCGGGTGGCCCTCGCAAGCAGCAAAATAGTTGACGGCACTGGCGTTGGTAGGGAGCAGCAAAATGTCAACAGGTTCGTGCGTGTTGAAACCATGGGGCCGATCGGGCCCACCTTTGATGCCATCCAGTGCACCCTGAACGCCGCCCGCACCAGCGAAATAGGCCGCATTGGTCTTGGCAGCTGCAAAAGCGGCGGAGTCGCGAGTGACGGCCTGGGTCTGCTCAAGACGCTCAATATTGCGGCGAGGAGGGCCGATGTCGTGGACAGCCTCCTCGACGATATTTTCTGCCTCCTCTTCTGTAGTGTCACCTGCCGAGTCGTCTCTCTTTTCGTCTGTCTCCTCATTCTCGCCATATTCCTCCTCCGGCGTCGACTTAATGAATGCGCACAGTGCCTTTACGCCATCAATATGTTGCGGGTTGGCCGTCAGTGCGGCCAAGTATGCCGGCAGCGCATCATGAAACTCGCCTGCCATGTAGTTGGTCTTCTCCACGAGCGACAAGTTCTTGAAGCGGAGGAGGCCCGGCATTGTACAGTCGACGATTGTGACACCCTCTCGGGCCCGCAACGGGGCGACCACGCGGGTTTCGAACGCCTCGAGGATCGCAGACTTGATACCCTGGAGTGCATCACGCGGAATTCCGATTCGGAGAGAGAGTGACGCTTCTTCTTCAACGGCAGTAAGTCTTGGATGAAGTGGTGACTGCAACCGGGCCTCGGGAATCTCGGCCGTCTTGGGATCATGCTCGTCACGGCCCATCATCACATCCAGCATCAGTGCTGCGTCAGCCAAGGTCCGCGTCATCGGGCCCAACGTATCCTGCTGCGGCGAGATAGGAACGACGGCGTCGCGGGACACCAGACCCGTTGTTGGCTTCAGGCCAACAATGTTGTTTTGCGTGGCCGGGCTGATAATGCTGCCGGACGTCTCGGTGCCCACGGCTAGCACGCAGTACCCCATGTCGACGGCCACGGCAGAGCCACTGCTGCTCCCAGAAGGATCCTGTTTGGCATGGTACGCGCCATACGTCTGCCCGCCGCGGGCACTCCAGCCGCTGTCCGACGGTCGAGACCGGAAGTTGGCCCACTCAGAGCAGTTGGTCGTGCCCAGCAGCACGCACCCTGCATCGCGCAGACGAGTGACGGCCAGGTTCTGACGCGCGGGCTTGGCACCCAGAAGGGCCAGCGAGCCGGCCGTGGCTTCGAGTGCCGGCTCCGCAGTGGCGACATTGTCCTTGACGAGCAATGGGACGCCATGGAGAGGACGCATCTTTTTCTTGCGCGCTGGGCCATCCAGGCCAGCTAGTTCCGCGTCGAGTTCTCGCGCAATGTTGAGTGCATTGGGGTTGATCTGCAACACGGCGTGCAGTTCGCTGTCGAAACGAGCAATCTGGTTCAGATGGGCCTGGACGAGCTGCTCTGTCGTAAACGTGGCGGCGGAAAGGCCATCCAGAACCTGTTGGGTCGTAAGAGACTTGAGCGGCGGGATATTGGCAGGTGATGGTCGGGCCAGGACAAGCGGTACAGAGGGCGCGGACCCCGCGGATGTGGCGGCAGACATAATTGAGGAACAAGAGACAGAAAATAGAAAATGAGAGTATGGCAAGCGGGTAGCAGATGCCGTGTGTCCGTTCAAAGTGCTGCCGTAGGCCGAGGCCGTGTGTCGTGCTATGGGCTTATCAGAGGCCGCGATGTCGTGAGAGACAAATATCCGTGCGTCTTACTGGACGACGATGAGCGTCTGACCGTTTGTCGTGATGTTGTGTTCCGTGAAGTGGTGGAAGTGTATGAAAAGTTGGGCTCCAGAGTTTGTTGGAGATGGTGGGTGAGTTGATGTCGTGACCAAGAGGGGTCGAGGTTGTTGAATTGTGAAGGGTCTGTGGCACACCGCCAAAGACAGCTCAGATCAGGCTGTCGTTGTACAGGCAGAGAGGTTGTATCACAAGAGGGAGCAATAAAGGAGGCCGAAACGGGAGGCGAAAAAGGGGAAAAGGGACAAATCGACGGTGGCCCAACAAAAGACAAACTACACGAGGGGGACCGATAAGATCGGCAGGAGACAAAAGAGGAAGGCGTACGTTGCTGTGTACCGTTTATCGTCGGCGCATTGGGAAAGTACCATCCATGGACAGTTGCCATTCAAGCGCAAAATATGCAAGAACATGCTAAATTTGGCGTTCCTGGCGCGGTGCCGCAGAAGGTGCAACCTGAGGGGCAGAACAATACTTTCAGGTATTAGTTGTTTCGGCAGTGGAAATGGGCTTGTCGCACAACATGGCAGGTACGAACGACAAGCGGCGGCAACGCATGGAGGCAGACATGGAGGGAGACACAACGGAAGGTACGGCAGGAATTACAGTGGGTCGCTATGCTGGTAACTACAGCGGGCGTTCCGTTTTATGGGTGGCCTCTTTGTCAGACATGCCAACAATTGAGATGAATTTTGAGACGAACGCCTGGTAAACAAAGCGTTCACAGGATTCATGGCTGTTAATGGCCTGTCAAAATATGCAAGCAGCCTGTGGTACAGTGACTGTTGGTAGATTTTCCACACGTCTATGACTGTGTACCGTAAGATGCATTACACAAAACGGCCGAAGGACGGACGGAATGCGTTGCAGTGAAGTATTTTCACAGCATTGTTTATATACGGGTAGATCTAGTCGTCGTATCATTTATTCTATGGCGAATATCAGGATGCATTCTCCTGTCTTTGATATTTTTAGACATTTCGTTTGGCGACTTGGCAATTTGAATTTCTTTCCTGGATGATATTTTGTACAACATCGTCGTCCTGTTTTCTTTGTATCCATGTAAACCGATTTGTTATATTCAACATGTTGTGTCCAGATTTAATCTCGGCATGATAATTATTCAGCTTAAGCTCAAAGCATAGTTTGATGTACTTCTTACAGAAGTTTTGGCCCATCTTTCCTGCTCCAAGTGCAAACAACCACGGTGCTTGAAGGAAGGTACTGTTTCCATAACGAATGACGGTTGAATGGTCTAACATCTGTACCTTTCCCCGTCTCTTTTCATTTCTTTTTTTTTTTAAAAAAAAAATGAGCATCCACATATTATTCCAGCACCTTCGGCCGCTCTTGCCTAACGCTGCACACCACGTCGGTGCGCCGTCGCGCCTTCCTCATGTAGCCATCCAAGCGATAGCGTAATGGGACATGTTACATGCTTATAGACGGAAGGACAGGCACAACATACCTGCAAGGCAGGAACGATGCAGCATCAATGTCACGGGAACGTGAGCGAGGCAAAAAAGGGGTAAAAGACCGGCTAGCCGAAGGGAACAGAATCATCTGTTCCTGACCACAACGTCCTCTCTACGCTGTGTCACAGAGCAAGTTATCCTTCACCATCCGCGACGAGTTACCCTGACGATATCGCCGTCCAAAGAGGTACGCCCAATCTCGTTGATAGTGTGTTCCGTTAACATCGATGGTGCTTTGCATCCTTGGTTGACATAGGCATATATTCAGAGATGCTCTCTACTTTGATGCTGATTTTCTTTTCCGTTCCACACCTTCTCCTATGAGCTGCTCTCACTATCTTGGTCACCGAGTAGCTCAGACTAACCTATCCCCTCTTCCAGAACCACAAAACAATATGGGTGCCAGACAAGAGCCCCCCTCGTCCAAGACGCCTTGCCGTCTGTCCATCAGCACCTTGTCGCTGGGCCAAAGCTATGCAGGCCACTCGCTGGAGCAACGGCTGGACCAGGCGTCACAACACGGCTACCAGGGCATTGAGCTGTTCTACGATGACCTGGAGTACATCGCCCAGACTCTGCCTCTGGTGCCTCCGTCGTCGTTTACGACAACTGACTCAACCGTTATCCCGACCACGATTCTCATGGCGGCTCCTACGACGGCACCGACCGACAGCCAACTGGTGCGTGCGGCAGCCCTCGTACGGGCCATGTGCGCCACGCGCCGCCTGGCGGTCATCTGCCTGCAGCCCTTTCGCCACTTTGAAGGACTTGTCAGCCGAGACGCGCGTGCCCATCGGCTGGCGGAGCTGCATCTTTGGTGCCGCCTTGCCGGGATTCTGCGGACGGACCTCATTCTCATTCCATCCAATTTTTTGCCGGCCGGCCAGGTGACGGGCGAATTCAAGTTTATTGTGCAGGACCTGCGCGAGGCCGCCGAGATTGCGGCCGCGGCCACGCCACCGGTGCGGCTCTGCTATGAGGCTCTGGCATGGGGCACGCACATTGACACGTGGCAGGCCAGCTGGGGGTCGCCCAGCAGGTCGACCGGCCCAACTTTGGGCTGTGCCTCGACACGTTCAACATTGCCGCGCGCGTCTACGCAGACCCAGCTGTGTCCGGCGGTGTGCAGCCCGAGGGTCCGCAACGGTTGACGGAGTCAGTGAAAGAGCTCGCCGCCGCCGTCAGCGTCGACCGTGTGTTTCTTGTGCAGATCGCCGACGGCGCCCGGCTGGCTGCGCCGCTCGTGCCGGGCCATCCGCTCTACGACGCAGATTCGCCGGCGCGCATGACGTGGTCGCGGCAGCACCGGCTGTTTTATGGCGAAGACGACCGCAGCGGATACCTGCCCGTTGACCAAGTGCTGGCCGCCATTCTGGGCGACCTCGGCTATCGCGGGTGGCTGAGCTTCGAACTCTTCAATCGGCGGACAAGCGGCACAGACGCGAGCGTGCCGGCAGAAATGGCGCGGCGAGGTGCGGCGTCATGGGCCAAACTTGTCGAGGACTTTGGCCTGGAGACGGGCGGCGGGGGCAAAACGGGACCCCAGACGCTCAAGGGAGCCAAAGTTGCAGAGGAGAGCTGTGCGACCAAGAGCAAGGAAGGGGGTGCTGGCGAATCCCTATCAAGCCGCAGTGGCAGTCAGCGCAAGTCGGTGGTGCGGTTGTTGACTCTGTGTGGCCTGTGTCAGCCGGGCAGTGAAGAGTGATGCGGCTAAGAGGAGAGACAAAATGCGTCGTTCTTTTATGGAATGATTATCGCAAGCAATACAAAACGGTGAAGACATGATACGGCATAATATCGACGATGGGATGGCAGTTGCATCACAGAAGTTAGATGTCAGCATTAAAAAATAACACCCCACGTTCGGATGACATTTTATTTTCTCCGCGTTTTGCTTCGGCGTTTTCGTTTCCTCGATGATCCAAGGAAACTGGGGACAGAACAGCAAGTCATCTGTCATTTGGATTCCACACAATGGGGGGTTGGGCCTGGCCAGGGTTGGTTCAAAGTGATGCTATGATGCGGCCTATCGCGGAACTTCCGCCATTGTTCCCGCCTTTCCATACCCACGGCCGTGGCAATTTCTTGGGCTCCATGCCTTGCTCGCTTTGTCTCTTTGTGTCCTTGTGTCTCTGTCTCTCTGTTGGAGACACATGGTATGCTGGAAGCCGGACTGGACAAGGGCCCTGTGTGACGGGTCAGTTGGACAGTATTTTCTCACGAATGTGTACACCGTAGGTCCCGGGAAACATGGACTCAAAAGTTGAAATTGCGAGTATATAACATATTATTCCGAGGGAGGGGATGATGCCAGGGGAGAACGAAAGACGAAAACACACTTGACGTATTCGTGAGCCGAACAAGAAGGAGGATGAACGGAAGGATTCTGCGCCTTCAAACCAGGAAAATGGGACACCGGAAACGACGGGCGGTGTCCAAGGAGATGTACGCAGAAATCAGAAACAAAAATGCAACCTCTTGTCCTTTCTTCCTATCTTTTTTTGTCTTGTTCCAGCTCTTCGTTCACATGCTCCGTTTGATGTAGTATTGAGTCCTTCGCCTGCCCCTCCCCCTCCACGAACCAGAGAACCAAATAAAAAAGGACGCAGACGCACATAATGTCATCTTGGGAGCGGAAAATGCAACGGTAAATTACCACATTGATCGGTGAGTTGATTCCAGTTGTCGAGACTTTGTATTCTCTGTTCATTACGATATTTTGTCAACTTATATGGAGATCGTATGGAATCAACGTAAGAACTGTGTCATGCAAAATGTTTCTGACTAGAAGCAGCACTGATGACATCTGTTTGCTTTAGATCTGCCTCTGTTTCCGTCCCACCCTGCAGCTGTCCCTTCGCAGCCTAGTGCCGGTGGCCCACGGATTCGGCCGGGAGCAGACAATAAACAGACAATTCCATTGTCTGACGTTCTGACGACTGCATTTGTCCCCAGGCGGGTTCCCTGTTGCATCTCTTTAGCAAACAAACGCAATAATGCGACGGTATATGCACAAGCATTTACAGACTACTCCTAGTTGGATCAACAAGAGCGGAGACGCGGCCGACTGGTGTTGGGGTCACAGCTTTGTTTCTCGTTCGGGCAACGCTGTTAGTGAAAAAGAGGAACGGTGTGGGCGAAGCGGAGAATCAAAGGTCAAGACAGGAAAACGATGGCAAGGGTAGTAGTCCGACATGGGAGAAGTCCGTAAGGGCGTGGTAACATGTAATGTGCTCGTCGTCTCCAGTTTTCTTCCGTTTTGTCTTTGCTTCGATTTCTGCACGTCTTTCTTGGATCAATGGGTTTCTGTCCCCCAGAATCCTTCCATTTCAAACTACATCGCCAAGTGTCCCACTGCCGACACGGACCTTTTCCAACTTCCACTTCTCCTCGTTGACTGGGTTTGCCGTTTGTTTCCACAGACACCGCCCTAGTCGCATACTCGATCTCACACTGGATCTCACGTCGAGCAGGTTAGAGTCTCATCGAGTCGCCTGTTTCCTCAATATCCACCCCGGATCGAGCCAAGATCAGCACTACCTCTGAGTGCGTGAAGCCCCGGTGACAATCGTCGTCGACCAACGCGAGGCGGCACTTCCGCCGGGGAACATCAACCTCTCGGTTTGGAAGAAGGAGAGCACACGGTGCTTGACAATCCAGCAATCATGGCGACTGCTATTAAAGGTGCGTGCTTGCGTGCTGTGCCTGTGGACGTGGACGGACTCGAAAGCAAGTTCGCGCCGCATGACCCTCACATATTCACACTCTCCGCCAGAAAATACACCACGCCCGCCGCCGTCGGCGCCTGCACAGCCTTCCCTGCCGTCGCCCTTCAAATCAGCCGCCATGTCGCTCTATCCGCTGAACCACAGCGAGCTCTCCGCCGAGATCGAGCGCCTCGAGTGGAACCACCACAACGTGTATGTCCCCATGTCGGGCAACACCGTCGTCGCGCCCGAGGTCGACGCCTACTTGCAGGGCCTGGTCACGGCCCGCGCAGAGGACCCTGCCTTCACGGGCCGGCCTCCCGTGTCCGTTGCTGACATCGGCACCGGAACCGGTGTCTGGCTCGTGGACCTGGCCAGCTCACTACCACCAACGGCCCGCCTCGACGGATACGACTTCAACACGTCCAAGTTCCGTCCGGCCGCGTCCCGCCCGCCCAATGTGCAGCTGCTCGAGGCCAACGCTGCCGAGCCCTTTGCCGCTGAGCTCCAGGAGCAGTACGACCTCGTGCACGTGCGCCTGCTGGTGCTTGGTCTCAAATCGTCCGACTGGCAGCCCCTCGCCGCCAACCTGCGCACGCTGTTGCGGCCTGGCGGCTACCTGGTGTGGGAGGAGATTGACGTTGAGCACTTTGCCGGGTTTCCGGAAGACTCGGAGCTGGCCGACGCGATGAGGCAGATGCTGCGTTTCTACAAGGCACGCAGCCACCAAGGCGGCAGCGTTGCGTACCCCATCGGGCTGGACACGCTGCTGACGTCCGAGAACTTTGAGGACGCCCGCCAGGATGTGTTCAAGGCGTCTGACTTCTGGGACCACCCGACGCTGTTTGGCACAACAATGACGTCGCTGCACACCATTGCTGCGTCGTACATGCAGGGCATGGTGCACACGGGCGGCTTCGAGGATGTCCAGACCAAGGAGGACGCCGTGCGCAAGTCGGCTGCCGTCAAGGCAGCGCTGGATGCGAAGACGGCCAAGGCAGACTTTTGGTTCTGGCGCACAACGGCCCGGAAGCCGTTGTAGACGAGGTGTTTGTGAGGAGAAATTGTTGGGTCTCATGTCGTTTTGGTATTGGAGTGGCATGTCCGTCTCCTGCATATACATGCATAGACCTTGTATACAATGCATTTTATGACCCTCGTGTTCCTGATCGTGCTTGTTCCCGCTCGCGTACTCATCCCCATCGTACTAGCCGCGTACTCAATCCAGGCCGGGGAATGAGGCACGCTTTACCTGTGGCTTGGCCTTGCGGCCCTTCTTGTTCTTCTTCTTGCGACGCTTCGCCGGCTCACGATCCGAATCGTCGCTGTCCGAATCATCGTCGTCGTCGCTGTTGCTGTCGCTGTCGGCTGCACGCTTTTTGCTGTTCTTGGGCTTGCCCTCGGCATCGCTACCGTCCGCCTCGTCGCCGTCTGTTTCGTCGTCCTCATCGTCATCGTCGTCGTCGCTTCCACCACCAACCCCACCGCCGTTGGCATCCTTGTTCTCCTGCCAGATGCTCACGGTGTGCCCCCCCGACGTGACCAGCCGGCCCAGGCTGTCAAACCCCACAGCCGTCACGCCCTCCACCTCGTCGTGCATCAGCACCTGCCGCACCTCGCGGCTCCGCAGGTCCACTATGCTCACCGTGCCGTCACCCGCGCCCACCACAACCGTCTGCCCGTTGCTCCACGGCACGCTGTCGGGCACCCGCACCACGGCGTCCAGGCTCTCGCCGTCCTTTTGCTTGCGTCCGCCGGCCACGTAGAACCGCTCCTGCTGGTCGTCCCACGCACCCTTGTCCCACAGCGTCAGCACGCCGTCGCCCGTGCCCACGGCTACAACAGGGTTGCCGCGCAGGTTCTTGGGACCCAGCCCCCGCGGGATCATGGTCGAGCAGAGCAGCTCCGTGTCCTGGTCCTCGGACCGCGCGACAATGCCTGCGCGCAGGTCCGTCACGGCCAGCGTGCCGGCGCCAGTGCTGACCCACTGCTTGGGGTACCCCGACGTGCTCTCGGCGGAGGGCGGCAGGGGCGTGATCGAGGTGACGTAGTCGTCGTGCGGCTTGTGTGTGCGGCTGGGCTTCGGCGCCACGGAGCCGTCGGCCTTCAAATCGTAAATGTACAGGCACCCGTCGTCGGTGCCCAGCAGCAGCGTCTGCGGCGACAGGATGTGCATAATGGCAGGCGGGTCGAGACCGCCGTCGTGGCGTGGGGGGATGGCAAACTTGGAAACGACCTTGCCGGTGAGCGGGTCAAAGTGCTTGACGACGGCGTCGGCGCCCGCCGAGTACACCCACTTGCCGTCGACGCTGCACGCCAGGCTGCGGCAGCTGCCCTTGTGGCGCTTGGTCGTCCACAGCGGCTTGATCACGCCGGCCTTCTTGCCATTGTTGCCCGCACCTGCATCGGGCAGCCGGTAGCACTCGACGCGGCCGTTGGAGAGGCCGACGGTCAAGAGTGGCTCGGTCGGGTGCAGCACTTGCGCGAACACATCTGCCGACAGCGGCAGCATGCAAAGGTTTTCGAGCATGTTGGGGGCGGGTAGTGTCGAGGATATATTATTGAGGCGAGGTTGGAGGACTCGAGGGTCAAAAGGACAATATGGTGAGAGGGAAAAAGAAGAAGAAAGGGGAAGAAGAAAAATAAAAAGAAATAAGAGGAAACTGGCAAGAGCAACAACAAGGCAAGAGCTCTGGGCGTGGAGAGCCGCAGAAATTTCATTCGCCAATGGAGAGCATGTGACCCACTTATTCGCTAGCGGTGTCGAACTGGGCAGCCACGATCAGTGAGCTTTATTTTCAGGTACAGCAAGCTACGGCCACGACAAGCGCCAACAGACGGTGCGGGGATCGCCTGTCCCGTTACGGTGTAATACAGTACGACATACAGAAGTAGTACGGCTTACCTTGGGAACGATTGGTTTGTATGGCTGGTATGACATCGTCGTGATTAGAAACGGCCTGAGAACGACGCTCTACAAACGGCAGGCGCTGGCTGACGCGCGCCTTCCCTGTTGGACCGCGGCAGCGTCCCCATAGTGGCGGGCATCCAGGACAACAGGGCAGGAACTTGGTTTGGTGCTGGTCGCGCCTTCCCGACAAGGTGAGACACCGCCCACTTCCCTTCAACTCCAACACGCCCATCTCCAGCTCCAGAGTCGTTCCTTCCATCCAATGTTTCCGATGGTGTGTCGGTGGAGCCAGCCTCCAAAACATCGGGCGCCGTCGCTTTCACTTTCACGCCAACCTACTAGACGCGCGTCTACAAAGCACAATGGAACAAATTACGCGGCACGGAGAGCCCAAGGTGACCTGGGGGGATACGGTGACTGATCGACTGATGCAAACAGAACCAGGACGTCTCGACGACCCTTTTGTTGACGTGGCTGTCGAACCAGCTGCCCACACTCGCCACAGCATCCAAGAAGAAGCATCGCATCGGCCATCTCCTTTCTCACGCGGCACCATCATGTTTCTCAGTTTCTTTGCCGTTTTCCAGGTTCTGGCATTGCTGGCACGCGTGGGATCGGGCAAGGGGGTGCCAGAGCTGCGCAACGTGATGTATCTGACGGGGTGCGTGTTGGCTGCTCTTTTTTTTTTGTCTTTGCCCTTTGTGGGCTTGGTGGCATAGCTGACCCAAACACAGGCAACATCCAAACATGCCGGTGCACTTGGCCGAGCAACAGTCCATCACGCACGTGGCGCTGGCGTTTATGCCGTCGGGCCTGTTCAACCGCGACGACGACAACCGCGACCCGGACCGCCCAGTGGAGTGGCCGCTCTTTACAACGGTCGACGCCACCCGCCGTCTGGTCAGCCCGACCACGAAAGTGCTCGTGGCCATTGGCGGCTGGGGCGACACGGCCGGGTTCGCACGGGCGGCACGCACAGCATCGGGCCGGCGGCGGTTCGCGCGCAATGTGGCGGCCATGGTAGCAGCGACGGGCGCCGACGGCGTGGACGTGGACTGGGAGTACCCCGGCGGCAACGGCGAAGACTACCGGCAGGTGCCCAACGTCGAAAAAGCGTGGGAGATTGGCGCATACCCGCTCCTGCTCGGCGCGATACGGGCGGCCCTGGGCCCGGACAAGTTGCTGACGGCGGCTGTCCCTGGCAAACCAGACGACATGCTGGCGTTTACGGCAGACACGGTCCCCGAGATTCTGGCGAGCGTCGACTTCTTGAACGTCATGACATACGACCTGATGAACCGGCGCGACACGGTGGTGAAGCACCATACGGGTGTGGCGGACAGCCTGGCGGCCGTAGACGCGTACGTGGCGGCCGGGTGCGACGCGTCGCGGATCAACCTGGGGCTGGCGTACTATGTCAAGTACTACCGCACGGAGCATGCGGCGTGCGTGGAGCAGGTGCACAAGACAGGCAGCGCGGTCGGGTGCCCCACGTTGTTGATGGAGGACCCAGACACGGGGGCCGATTTGGGTCGCGCGGGTGCGTTCGCGTGGCACGACAAGGTGCCGGCAGACGTCAAGGACTCGTTCTCGCGGGCGCGGGCGCATGGGCACTACACGGAAGCGGGCGGTGGCGGGTTCGGGTACTGGGACGACGAGGAGGACCTGTGGTGGTCGTTTGACACGGCCGACACGATTGTGCAGCACAAGTTTCCAGAGGTGCTGCAATCGCGGCACCTCGGCGGGGTGTTTGCGTGGGGGCTGGGCGAGGATGGGCCCCAGTTCGACCGGTTTGCGGCGACAGCTCGAGCGTGGAACAAGGTGCGCAACGGCGGGTGGGATGTCGACGTCGGTGGGAGTCCGCAAGACGCGCGCGAGCGTAAGGGTAGCGACAAGACGAGCAAGAAACGCAACGGCAACAGCAACAGCGGCGTGACTCGCGACGAGCTGTAGAACGGATCGTTTCCGGCGCTCGATCGGGTGACGGTGGGCGTGGACAAGCTGGTTGAGAGCGGGCGACAGCTGGTGACGTTTGAGTGCACGTACCGCTCGATTGTGGACGTTATGGCGCGGACATCACGGTGAGAGCATGGGTTTCAACGGGTGGAATACGTGTGTATTGACTGCATATTAAGGCGTCCAAGGTTCTAGGTATTAATGGTAAAGGTAATAAGGGTGGGCAAGGGTAGTCAAAAAGGAACGTCGGGTATCGAGGAATTTAAAAACATGACATGCTCTTTAAGCAGACGCAAAGAGATGAGAGAAAGATAGGGAGTGAAGCAACGCAGCAAACAAGAAACAGACGGCTCAAGCAAATCCAAAGAAATCAACAAATTCATAAATTAAACAGGGTATTCTGAAAAGTAGTTTGCCATCATAATATTTGTTCCCATCTTCCAACAATCGGCTTCCTGTCTGTCGCCGTCCGTCCACCGGTGTTTTGTAAATGTCGTCAGTCAATTTTGCTTTTGCGTACGTCGTCGTTTATGCATTTATACGCGTGCTGCGATGCCGCCCGTCTTGACGGTGTGGCCGCGCGAGCGCAGCGACTCGATGGTGTCCACGACGACCAGGACGCCGAACAGCGCCCACAGAAAGAAGCCAAAGGCAATGGCGGCCTCGAGGGAGCCGCAGTAGTGGTTGCCGCCGCAGTTCACAGGCCCCCCGACGTCGACGGCCAGGGCAATGCTGCCGGCGAACCAGAAGATCATGGTGATCCATTCGAGGGCGAGCGAGGCGAGGCGGTGGAAGACGCGGGTGAAGTAGAGCGGGGTGACGCCGACGTAGAGCAGGACGAGAATGGACCAGATGGCGTTGAAGAGCATAAAGTTGAGGATGGAGGGCGAGGTGGAGTAGCCGTCATGGTCAAAGAAGGAAACGAGGTACGCGGTGAGGCCGAGCTCGATGACGCCAAAGACAATGGCCGCGATGTGGACGATGCCAACGAAGCCGTACGCCATTTTGTCGGTGTTGAGTGTCTGGAGTGGTTGACTGTTTGAGTGTGTTGAGTTGTGCGGAGTTGCGTAGAACAGAAAACGACAAAGAAATCTGGTTGTTAAGTTGCAGACTGTTGATGCGACTGGAGTTGGGAGTGAAGAAAATCAGACACAGAAAAGGGAGCGACACCCAATCTACTTAAATTGTTCGCTACGACGAACGTCCCTCACGTCACTCTCTGTGATTTTCACCGCAAACAAGGCTTTCATTTCGTCACCCTCCTGTTTTGCAGGTTTAGTTGACGTCGTGGGTCGTCCACTGCCGATGACGTGGGTATATGCAGCTTAATTCTGCATGTGGATGTGGTCTGTGCGCCTCTGGCCGCCAAAATAGAGTGGCCTACATCGTGAACACCCATACAGGGGTCACGACACGGCCCAATCCTGCTTTTTGGCGGTCGACAAAGTTGTCGTTATGGAGGGCGGGCTGAACTGCCGCTGGCCAACCGATCGACGGCTTAAAGTCTGCGTTGAGTGTACGGAGCAAAAACTAATTATTGACGACTTACGTTGTCTCGTTGGTCAGTATTTTGATTTCTTTGGTTCCTACGACTTACGGACCTTCCCCTACCTGCCGGCCGTTTCACTCTGTTCTCATCGCATCCAATGAAAAGCAAATCGTAGCCAGTCTCTGAGTCTCTCTTAATTGCCTTGCGGTGTCCTGCAGGGGCTGATGTCAATTTGAGGGCCGGCGGTGAGAATTGACTTTTGGCTGTGAGGTTCGCGATGCCCATCTTTCGTTGTTAGTATCCTGTTAAATGAGGACGACTGCCGACTTTTCGCAGCTCGCAGGAAACGGTGATCAACACGCAAATCGAGATCTAGGGCGGCCTCAGGGCCTGTCTTCCTTCATCTTGTCTGCCTGCCCACATGCATGACCGCCTGCATGAAAACCCAGTAGCAACCCTGGTGGAACCCACGTTGCTGCCTGACGTCATCACACCACTTTTCATGAAAAAACACGAAAACCCAATCCAACCAATTTCCACCCGTGATGCTTAACGAAACGCCACACCATAGAGCAAGAAACGTGGGCATTGTGTGGCGGACGTGTGCAGGCGGGCATGGGTAAATCAATTGCGAAGACATATAGCAGTGTCAAGATCAGTGCCACCGCCCAGATATGCAGATATGAGGACGGTGCATTGGCAGTAGGTGTCAAACAATCTGAACGGGAATGTATGAACGCAAGAAAACAGTCGTGCCACATTTTATGAATGTTGGGATATGAAGTTTAGCAAAATAATAAGTCAGCAAGGTATATTGAGTATAATCAAAAAAGCTCATGTTTAAATAATGGAAGAAATGGGAGTACGGACATTAAATTGATTATTTAAGCAGACCGCGGCCGCCTCTAAGCTGATTGCCCATTGACAAGGATGAAGGGCCATGTCGCTTAGGAGGATGTCGAGCACTTTTGAATTCCGCTTGGTCGAGCTATCTAGAGTATAAGAAAGATGATTTGCTCGCTCCCATTTTTATATTTTCATCTTTCTCGTAACCTTCTATCCTGCTTGTCTCCTCCCAGACAGCTTCATACAGCTTGGGAATTCTGTGCTATTGACACTGGGTATCACTCAAAGGAGGAAGGGGAGCCATGATGACTCACTTTGACAAAGGCGTAACAGGCGGTGTATCTACCTTGGAGGGGGATCTACCCTGTGGATGGCTGGCAAAGAAATTCGGGAAACTCCACAGCTGGACTCGTTTTGTTTCAGACGCCTGAAAATGCCTCCCGCTGACAAGCTCCGGTATTCACCGTTTGCCGAAGCTGAGCTACCAAAGGTGCATATTATAACGGTCAACGACAAAAGGTTCAAAGGTAATTAACGGGCAGCGAATAACAAGGAGGATCACGCTTAAAAGTACGACGGGAAATACGGGGTAGGAGTACACATTCGCACTCTATGCAACTGTGCAACTGTAGTCCGGCATTGTGTTTGGAGGCAGAGATTGGCCCAGAGTTTAAGGTTAGCAGCTAATTCGTAGACTCTTTACTTCTGACATGCCTCGGCTATCGATCTAAGCGCTTTAGTGGGATCAGCAAATATAAATACGTCGTACAGTCATGCAGTATCAACACATGTTTGATCCTGGCAAGCATTTGTTTAAGCAAGTTTATTTGAAGCCCAAAATCGCCTCATATAACAAAGTTCAACCTATATGAAATCATGGTGTTGCAGCTCAAAATATTCCGTGCCGGAGAATACACGGGATCAAATTGTGAGCCAACAATCAAGATTTATGACCATTACGTTGAAATTGCTTAGGATACTGTGTTGGTCGGATCGTAGCCGAGCTTCTCTCCACTTACTACTTCATAGTTGCAATACTTCTATCGTGGCCAATACTCGTAGATGAAAGATAAGACAAATTCACAAATAAGATTATATATCATGACTCGCAAATGTCTTACTTTACCATTGGTAGGCTCAAGAGAGAAATAGAGATGGCAAAACTGAAATGGTAAATGATAAAGCAGCTCTTACCACCCCGTCCCCGGTAGATATCCTCTTAAAGACGGGGGATCACGCGACGTCAGAGGTTAACGATGATGTTTTTCGTCTTGGTCAGCATTTCCATTGTCCATGCTTCGCTATACAATTTACAAACTTCATCCAATCGCGAATATCTGGCAATAGTTGTAAAGACAGTATTTTTGTAGATATCCCAATCACGCAAGTACCAACTCTGGTTGCATATAATAGGGGCAGTATTCGATGCTTTGCAGAATAAGATGGAAACAACAAAATTTGAAAGAATTGGAATGACTCTACATTTGCATCCTTTATTCGTCCTAGTTCTACGTCCACTACATCGAGGGAAGAGTTTCATCTAGGACTTGACTAAAGTCATCAGTCCGGCACGCGACCACGCGCAATTTTCGTTCCGCGGTGCTTCCCGCCGCGAGTGCCGCAGAGAGGAAAGCGTGCACACTGCGCCGTACTACAACGTATTACGCCGTGAGACGACAATAGACGAAGCCTAGCTAACCCCGCGCGCCTGGAAAGGATTGCGAGACTACTCAGACCAATAGGTTGCATTCGGCACCAACCATTTTCGATGCCAACAAAAACCCCTCTCTCTTTTGCAGATCCCACGCAGCTAGAGAACCACTGCTGAGGGGAAGAGGCGGAGGCGGCCAGCGCCGTTATTCGAGCCGCGCAAGCGGCCGGTCCCCGACTGCTATTTTGTCTGCTTTTCTGCGTCGAGGAAACGTGCGCGGCAGGCTGAGGCGGTGATCAATTCTTTTGAGAGGTGTGTGGGAGACGACAGGGGTGATGGGTCGCAGGGACAGCGTTCAGAGGTATGGAGGTGTGGCGAAAGGTCGAGAATGGACGAGACGACATGCATAACGGCGAGGTGCATCTCCAGGCGAAGCTGAGGTAGAAGACAAACCGGGACAATCTCCAATGTTAGCCGGCACCGGCAAGTCCGCCTTATGGCTTATCGGGTGGGTTAAGACAGAGACGCATAAAACGTGGGAGAGGGAACGTGAGAAGAGGAGACATTGAAAAGTGCACTAACACAAGGCACTGAACCGAGCTCCAGATTCCCGTTTTACCAATGGCGACGCCCGGATGTCGCTTGCTTAGCCTTATCTATGGGAACGAGAGTCCACCCAGACGGCTCCACCCTGCTCGTCCAACAGTGGAGGACCACGACGGAGACGATTCAAAGATAGAATCCGTCTTTAATCAATGTATCTTATCTTGGCCCTTTCTGTGGGTGGGCGTTGTCCCAGTTCAGCATGGAGCAACCTGTGGTCCTCTTCTTATCAGTGGTATCTGACCGCAATGGTCTCCATGCTTGTAGTCTCGGCATTTGAGATTCTGCATTCGAGTTCACCTAAAGCGTGTCGTCATTATGTGTTCTATATAAGAGGAAAGAAGAGCATAGCATATATGGCCTTTTCAACACAATATTTTTTTATTGGCAACGCGCATGATAGCCCTCGTCCCTGACTGTCGCTTGCCCACTTTGTTATCAAACCTTGTCGGGGCGAGATGGTTGCAAGACAAGCACAGCACAGAATTATTTCCTCAGGTCACGCGCTGCGTGAATTTCTTGTTGTCGCAGTGCCCATGTTTCGAAGGGTTCACACTTTGCCCTTTGCGTGGGTGTCAGCCAACGTGGACGATTTTGTTTCCGCTCTCCATGTTTCCGTCTTCTCTTTAATCGGGACGTTGTAGTGTTCATCACATTACTCGATCGTATCGAGTCAAGAATATAAATCAAAACGAAAAGAAGCTAGCAGCCCTGGCCGCACCCACACACACCAAAACAGAAAACGAAAGCGACTGAGATGTGGAACCCAGTGCTGCCAACTCACCTGCGGAAGTATGTCGTAGACCCCGACGTTGTTCCTAGACAGCATGCTGGGGCTCAGCTTAAATTTAGAGTCTCTCAGGTAATCATGCCGTGTCTAGTCCCTCTGCAGACAGCCACGCTGAATGAACGACATGGCCGACTTCCGTACCATGTAGCAGGTTATATGGCGCGTTTACGCCAGAGACGGCGATCATCAACTGTATCAAGGCTAGACGGTAAACAAACTCGGCCACCACGCCGTGTGGGAAAGAACAACGACGACCAAGCCACGACGATACTTTTGCGAGAGATGCTTCAAGGTCACTTATACAACGAGGACAGGTGACGGGTGAACAATCTGATAGACTGCAAAACAGTCGATAGCAAAGTCGAAAATACTCCGTTCTCAAAAGGAGAAGTCGGCATCCGGTTTCAATCCATTCTCTCCGGGGCCGTGCTTGTGCAATCCGTTCACCTCCTCCAGCGCGAGGCTGCACCCCATCACCATCTTCTTGTCGTCCTGTTGTTTGCTCCTGCGCTAGCGTTTTGCTCAGTCGTTTGTATGTGTAATTGTTTTGAGTCCGTTTTGACTCTGTAGGCCCCATTCTGTCTGATAGAGAAGTGGAGACCGCCCGTTCTTTCCGTTATGTGTGTGGCAAGTGCGACCCGACTCCCCCCCGGCGCCAGGGCAGTCGCCCCGCAAGTCCAAGCCGTTAGCTTCTTTCGTTTCCTGTGCTTTGGTTTGCTGGTGATAATGACACATGCTTGTGAGAATAAAAACCTTGGCCCTTTGACGCTTGGCCGATCATAAAATCTGGACGTCCTCGCAACGAGACCGAGCACCATCTAGAGTCCCAGCTCAATTCAATCCGTTGCATCCCGGGTTGCCATCGTCATCTTGCGTCGCACATATAAAACACGCTCCTGGCCGCCGCCTCTTGACGAAAGGCGGAAACCGGAAGGCACGACGATCATCTCTCTCATTAACAAGCATCGCTCCTTCCCCGCATCCGTCGGTCCTCGAATCGAGCGCCACGTTCACATATTTACACCCTGATATCCTCGCTTTCCTAATCGGGTCATTCCTCGGTCGTTCCTATCTTCGACTCGTTCTCGCACGTCCCTTTTTCTCTTCTTTCCGGTTCTTCTCGTCTTCTCTTGTCGTCTTCTCTTTCCTTTTCAGATCCTCTTCTTCTCCTTCCCTTTCCTCTTCCTCTTCTCCTCTCCTCTCCTCTTTCTTTTCCCGTCCCCATCCTTCTTTATCCATCACACATCACCAATTTCACCAAACCAACTTCACAATGGATGAAGATCAGGGCCCGTCCCAAATCGCGCCCACCGAGGGCCGCCGCGGTGTCGGCGCAAAGATCAACAGTGCCGCCCGCACCGTCAAGCACACCCTCTTCACACGCGATGGCCTGCTCGGCGACTACGACTATGTATTTCTCTTTCGCCCCAACCTGCCCTTTATGAAGAGGTCCAAAATGGCCTCGCCCTTCTTCGGCCTCCACGACAAAATGCCCGTTGTGCTCGCTGTCTTGCTCGGCCTGCAGCACTCCTTGGCCATGCTGGCTGGTGTCATCACGCCGCCTATCATCATGTCCGGTGCCGCCGGCGGCAACTTGGTCGCCGAGCAGCAGCAGTACCTCGTCTCGACCGCCCTCATTGTTTCCGGCATTCTGTCGCTCGTCCAGATCACCCGCTTCAAGGTCCGCGGCACCCCCTACTACATCGGCACCGGCTTGATCTCGGTCGTCGGCATCTCCTTTGCCATCATCCCCGTCGCCGAGGGCGCCTTCAAGCAGATGTACGCCAACGGCTTCTGCCCGTCTGCCGAGGACGGCACCCCGTTGCCCTGCCCCGATGGCTACGGCGCCCTCCTCGGCACGGCTGCCATCACCGCCCTCATCGAGATCCTCATTTCTTTCATTCCCTCCAAGACCATGCTGCGCATCTTCCCGCCCATCGTCACCGGCCCCACCGTCATGCTCATTGGCATCTCTCTGATTCAGTCGGCCTTCCAGGGCTGGGCAGGCGGCTCGGGTCTCTGCAGCGCCGCCGACCCCATCGACTTTTACAAGCTGTGCCCCGACATCACCGCCCCCCACGCCCTGCCCTGGGGCAGCGCCGAGTATATCGGCCTCGGCTTCTCCGTCTTTGTCAGCATCATTCTGTGCGAGCGTTTCGGCTCGCCCATCATGAAGTCCACCTCGGTCGTCTGGGGCCTGCTTGTCGGCTGCATCATCGCCGCCGCCTGCGGCTACTTTGACCGCTCCGGCATCGACGCGGCCCCCGTCGCCTCGTTTGTGTGGGTCCACACCTTCAAGCTGCAGCTCTACGCCCCGCTCGTCCTGCCCATGCTCGCCGTCTACATCATCTGCGCCTGCGAGGCCATTGGCGACGTGACGGCGTCGTGTGACGTCTCGCGCATCGAGGTGTCGGGCCCCATCTACGAGAGCCGCATCCAGGGCGGCGTCTTGGCGGATGGCCTGAACGGCGTGCTGGCCGCGCTCATGACCATTACCCCCGTCACCACGTTTGCCCAGAACAACGGCGTCATTGCTCTGACGCGCTGCGCCAACCGCAAGGCCGGCTACTGCTGCTGCGCCTTCCTCGTCATCATGGGCGTCTTCTCCAAGTTTGCCGCCGCCCTCGTCGCCATTCCCAGCTCCGTCATTGGCGGCATGACGACCTTTTTGTTCTGCTCCGTCGCCGTCTCCGGTATCGCCATCATCACCCGCGGCGTGCCCTTCAACCGCCGCAACCGCTTCGTTCTGACCGCCGGCCTGGCGCTGGGCTACGGCGCCACCCTCGTGCCCACCTGGTTCTCCAACGTCTTCACCTACACCGGCGGCAACAAGTCGCTCACCTCCTTCCTCGACGCGATCGTCCTCGTCCTCGAGACCGGATTTGCCGTCACCGCCCTCGTCTGCATGCTGCTCAACCTGATCCTGCCCGAGGAGATTGACGATGTGAACGAGAGCCACATCCCTGCGGACATGCCCGAGCCGGAGGTCGTCATTGCCGCCGTCCACCACCCGACCCCTTCGGCCTCGGGCCACAACAATGCCACAGCTACAAAGGGTGACGAGAAGCAGGCCTAGGGCTGGCGAAATTTGCTTTTTGGTTGCTGTTTTTTGTTTCATTTTGCATAGTTTTGATGACATGATTATTTTGAAGAGTTGAGTTCGCAGGTGACCTCCTCTGACATGAACGTTTGTTTAGGTTACTATTGTTCGGCCGTTTTCATTTTATGGGAGATACCTTTTGTGTGAAAATAAGATTTGTGCGTTTTGAACTGGACCTGTTGACCGTTTTGAACTTTCAACTTCATACACATGGTAACTTGCAAGCTTATTATCATCTTTTGTGTACGGTGCACGGAGTCTTTTTGGTGTTACAACACAGCGATCTTAATTTTCACAGGGTTTAATTGGCCTTGGCGCCAATTTTGCGGCGCAAAGGTTAGTTAGAGCCAGGGGACAAGAGCGCTCTGCCTCAAAGGCGCACCATCGTCGTGAGAATACTCGAAAAAAGCCAATGAAGACAGACGTACTGCAATACCTCCTTGTCTTTCTTTTCGACGTTCGATAAGTCCCGGACATTCAGGCAGTCGTCTTTTTCAACAAAGCAAACGTAAGGCTTGGTTCCAATTTACACGCATCCTACGCCAAGATCGTTATTGCCTACCCATACTTGGCGTGTCAGAGCCGACACCTATGTCGGCCAAGCTGTATTTATGACAGTTGTTGTCATTCCCTCGAACGCCCGCCACACTTTAAACTGGAAAACATCTTTGTTCGGAAGTTGACGTACAAAATGCGGCTCTCGCCAATATCAATATCACCAGTGGTGTTGTTCGCCGTCCTCACCGGCCTCGCCGGTCTGGTCGGCACCGCCCAAGCCAGTGTGTCCAACCGCACTGTCCAACCCGTTCAGCCCGCCCAGCCCGTGAACATCACCCTTGCTTACCCACGCAGCGAGGCCTACAACACCTTGGGCCGTATCCCCATTGTCTTCTCCATCTCCAGTCCGCAGTACGCCGTCTTCCTCAACCCTCGCATCGACTTTGCCATTGGCAAGTACGGCGGCGACTATCCATTCGAGGGCCAGTGTCCCGTCTACGCCGACACCCGCAACTTTACCGTTGACCTCTCCAAAGTCAACCTGACGGACCCGGCTACGCCCGACCCCTTGTACATCTACGCCTTTTGGGAGTGCCTTGACTACGAGGTCGGCGAGTGGTACTTTTCCTGGACCGTCCGCACAGGCCGTGCCCCCGAAAATGCCACCGACTTCCAGTACAACAACAACGTCACCGACACGGGCGGGTTTGTGTTTGCCACCGTGCACAGCGGCGGGCGCTCCATGGACCTCGTCGAGAACACGAAGAACACGTCTTGCGACAGTGTGCCCTACGAGCACGACTTTCTCGTCGCGGGCATCGCCGAGGGCTCCTGCAGCGGATCCATCACAGACCGGCCGGGCTGCGCCGTGGTCGCCAACGACACGGGCGCGTCCATGGCGGCCGCTGTGCCCCCGCCTCCGGCCAGCAGCATCTGTGGCGGAAGCATCAGTGCGTCCATTGCCGAGACGATCAACAACACGCCGCGGTTTATGGGCACGTGCCCCGTGCTGCCCATTGCTCACGTCGATTGCCCGCCCTCGTTGACAGTCCAAGACATGGGCACGGCAGCGCTGCCGTCGGCAACCCAGCCTGGAAGCAAATCAGGCGCGGATCCAAGAATGCCGCTAGACGTCCTCGGTACAATGATGGTTGCCATCGTAGCGGTTGCTCTCCGTGAGGCTGTATATTAGGTTAGAGTTGTATGGTACGGTGTACATAATAGACCAAAAGTCTCTAATGTTCGTACATGATCAAATACACATTTATGGACGTGCTTTTCCCTCGAAGTAAGAGTCTGTAAATTGGACACAGTACGTCGTTCATAGCGGCGCCTTTACATGGGTTTCAGCAAATATCCTTCCATCATACCGCTCTGATCATTCATAGTCGTTGATTGTTCAAGTCCTCGAACCACTGATGGTCACCAGTGTCGCCGCGAGTTGCAGGCTCTGTAAGGAGTGACGTTGCCACTATCAGAGGGTTGGGTGCCACTGCGGAGGCTTCGTTAAGGAGGTGTTGATAAGGGGATGGAGAGATGGAGAAAGATTAGAAGCATAGGTGAGAAGAAAATGAGTGTTACAAATACAGGAGCATTGTATCGATGAACCTGTTGCAAACGGAAAGAACAAGAGAGTGCCTTACGTCAACAAACAGAGTCAAGACGGGAAAGAACGACCAGTACGGAGTTCGTGTACCAATTTGACTGCACATATTTCTCGCCCGTGCCTTTCCTTACCGTCCATACATTGGGACACCGATTTGGATATAAAGTCAGAAAAAGAAGAAAGAAAAAGAATATAATAAATACCATGTGGACTTTTAATAATAAAAAGAATCATGTTTGTTGACTTTCAATGTCGACACGTGATTAACCAAATGGGCTGGAAAAAGATAAGTGAAGAGTCAGGGGTGGGCGCAATCGGCGGTTGCGAGAAAGAGCGACCGCGTTCTGCGAAACGCGTCCGTCGAAAGCCGCTCACTTTGGCTTCACAATTCGCTGACCTCACTCTCAACAATTATCCAGCCTCCTTAGCCTCCACTTTGCCCTGCGCCCAACACTGCAACAGGCGTCGCAGGCCTCGCAAAAAACTAAGTCGCATCGCTTTGTCTGCATGCGTTGCACTGCCGTTGGACTGCACTGGCGGCGCCAGCAGCTTGCAGTGTTTAGCTGCAGATTAACAAACAGTCACAGAGAACGGCTGTTCCGACGCCTGTTTCGATGTCTCTACTAACGCCGACCTCTATACACGTCCCGATGCCAGAGTTGCCGCGAACAACTGCCCCAGCGACAGCATCGGCCTCCGCGGGCGTAATGAACAGTGTGCTGCCGGCCTTGAGCGACCGACGTTCCTCGACATCAACCGTCCTCAAACATCCCTCCCCAGTTGCACCAGCCTCTAAACCAGCCACGCTGCCCGCTACCCATCTAGCTGGGCATGCTGTCACAGGGCAATCTCATACAATGGCAACACCAAGTAGTGCAACCTCCACCAGCCCCACACGTCATCGCGTACCTTTGCCTTCTGATGTAGCAAGCAATGCCCCAAGCGGACATGGAGTCGCCCACCCCCCCATGGGCCTGTTCAAACACGCGGCCATACCACATTCCGACGAGCCTCAACAGCCAGAGGCCGCTACCGGCACACGTCCGGCCGTACTGCCACTCAAAGACCCGGCCGCTGAAAAGGAGGTGCATAAGAATCCGCTTCCGCAGAACAAACAGAGCACACTCCGCGTCACAACTGTATCACCGGCTGCACCCCCGGTTCTGGCGTCCTTGACCAAGGCGAGCCCGTCTCCCATATCCCCCAGTGCCATCTTCTTTGGCCTCCAGTCTGGAAGTAATGATCATGCCAGCCCACGCCTCGCATATAAAATGAAGCGAACCGGCCGCCCAGGCATTCTGCCGCCAAATTTAAAGTACTCGACTGGATCGAGGACACCCCCTACGTCGTCGGGCTCGACGCCTACACGCACTCCTACGGACACGCCGCCGAAATCGTTCCGAGACGGCCTTGGTATCAAGACACAGCCACCGCCGCTGCCGCATTCAAGACTGTCTGCGCCCACCGACCCCAACCCGGCTTTTGTTGAGAGTGACCTGGTATCCAATGCATCGAGCCCACCACGTCGTGTAGCTCGACAGCAGAATAATGACACAGAATTCCTGGATGGCCCAACCAATCGGACTGGGGTCAACGGGCTTAGGCGGCGCCGAGAGTCGGCCGTGGAGCTGGCAGAGCCTCCACAGAAACGTGCCAAGACTTCCCACAGCTCTTCTTCCCGATCCAACTCCCGGAGGCCATCGTCAGACTCGGACGGTGTCGTCAAGACTGCACCTACTTTGGCAATCTCGCTCTCCTCGGGCCCGGAGTTCCCAATAACTTCTGAGGTTTTGGTTGACACTGTCAACCCGACAGATTCATCCGACAGTGGCATCGAAGAAGTCAGTGGCCAGGCAGATGTTGCTGACGTTGAAGCAGACAGGGACATCGTCAGCCTGAGTTCCGGGCAAGACTCGGATGCAGGAGGCAGCTCTTCCGATGAGGACGACCTCACCGACTCTGTCGACGTCGGCCCCGAGGACGCTGCTGCCGTGTTGTCGTCTGATTCCCCAGCATCGTACTCGTTTGCGCCCAGCGGCCGGGCTTACAACAAATATATTGGTAACTTGCTGCAATACGAGTTGTCGAACCGCGCTATTGCGTATCGCTAAGACTTTTTTATTTCAGACAAGGACGGAACCGTGCATGGGACAAAAGGAGCTATCATCCCCGATGGCTACGAGCTGTGGCCAAAGCGAACGACGCCGTGGATCTGCCCTGTCCGTACGTGCCGTAAACTCTTTCCAGAACTGGTCAGCATGGGTGGCCATTTTTCGGTACGTTGCAGAATACAGATTTGCTTCTTTTTCGTGGCAACCAGTCAACTGACCGTGTTTGTATTGGTGTCCGGCTCCAGCGAGGGCATCGAGCAACCAATTTGAACGACAATCTGGACGGCACATTGACTGTAGTCAAGCAAGTGTCAACCAAATCCGAACGCCTCGGTGCCCGCGTAGTCTCGCAACAGGCGCCCACAAAGCTTGAACCCCTGGCCAAACCCTTGGTGTCGAAATCAGCTAAGAGAAGTAGGTTTGGCAGAAAAAACGTTTCAGCAACAAAAGCTCACCACAAGGAGACACTCGATAGTGAGGTGGCTGTTTTATCAAACGGTGTCGCCGCGCAGAGACCGCCAACGAAGTCACTCACGGCACCGGTAAAGCGTCCAACAAAGGAGCTTCTGGTGTCTGCGTCTGGCCGGGAGTACACCAAAACCATAGATGGCGACCTTGGTTTTGGTGTACTCTTTCCGGATGGTTACTCTAAGAGCTCTGTTCCGGATATGCCGTGGCTTTGTCCGGTCCGTGACTGTCAACGTGTTTTTCAGAGGATCGTCAACCTCGGGGGACATTTCACACGGAAACACCGGCATACGCTCTTCAATGACAATAGAGACGGCACACTATCCAAAGTTGGCGTCCATGCCCATATGAGAGCATTTGTTGTGTCCACTAACAAGCGACCTGCGTCCGAACTGGGGCCTCTGGCACCGCAGGTACCTGCGGGCGCTCAGGCCAAGGCTGATGCCTTTGCCCTGTCGCACTCTTTGCCATCTAAGCCCCCGAGACCAAGTGTACTTTCCAAAAGCGCGGTCCGAACCGACGGTCCATCCCCGGGACCCGGCGATTTTGCGATTCCGCGTCCGGTCGACCCGCAGGCGACATGGGAGTACCTGCAGTCCTTTCTGGCGCCGGCGCTCCGACGCCCTGCACCGCCCAAATCGGGCTACAGCAGCCTATTTCTGGCGGCCCAGCGCGTGCGCGACATTAAGTGGAACGAGCGGCGTGTTGTGCCCGTGGGCGGACACACGACGGCGAGCATTGTGTCGGCGTTGATCCAAATGAGCGGTGACTGGGTGCCCAATCCGTGCGACTGCTGCCGGTCAGGCCAGGGCCTCTATGACGGCTGCATTATTGCGAGCAGCAAGGGCACGGCGGACATGAATGTGGCCTTTTCCAAGTGTGCCAACTGTGTGGAGCGCAAAATACCGTGCAGCTTGCATCCGATTTTCCGGCCACGGTTCGCCAAGCTGTTTCCGCACCTCAACTACGACGCGGCGTATCGCTATGCGCGGTCGGGCAATTTCGGATTCAGCGAGACCATGGCGGTGTCGCAGCCGCAGCGCTTGAAGGCGGTCACGGCGGGCAATGTGCGCCGTGAGAGGGGGTCGGCGACCGAGGCAGGCGGCGGCGGCGGCGGAGCGGACAGCGGTCCTGACCCGGCGTCGAGTGATGACGAACCTCTGGCGCGTGGGGTGCCCCACCGCGCCGGACAAAAGGCGCGGCCCGCACGAGTGGCCGGTTTCCAGCAGCACGAGCCAAACAAGCTTCGACTCGACGGCCGCGACCGCCGCCGCTCGGGCCGCGTTGCCGGTAAGGAGGTCGACGTGTTGCCAACAGGGCGAACAGCAACGTCGTCGTCGTCATCATTCTCTTCGTCGGCAATGGCTCTGTCCCGACCGCACACGAACACCGCCAGCAGTAGCAGACTCGCGACGACCAGCAGCGACTCGGCGCTGATGGCTGCCGGCAACGTGCAGCCGGGTGGTGCCGACGCACTGGAGATGGAGGACTGGGAGGTGGCGCCCGGACGGGTGCAGAGCAAGGCGCACGAGAACATTGCCTTTTCCAATGCGTACCTGACGTCGAACCAGATGGTCCCGATCGACCACAACATGTCGTACCGTGTGGAGGTAGTGCGGCCGGGGCAGTTGGTGTCGTTCAACGCCGACGAGAGGGCGATGCGGATGTGCATGTTGGCAGCAGGCAAGCTGCGCGTGGTGGTGGGCGAGGACCGCTTTGTCATGGGTCCCAACGGCATGTTTCGGGTCAAGCCAGGCACGTCGTTTGGCGTGGAGAACCGGCAGTACATTGACGCGTATCTGCATATTACGGCGTGGAACAACATTGCAGACGCATAAGCTATTTTGATGGGTGGTCTGAGACAAGGAAGTGGTCCATTGATTGAGAGAATGGAGCTTGAGATATACTCCTTATGGCGTGGCATGGCGTAACGGCGTTTTTTATTTGCAATTTACGACACGTTTCAAGAACTGCAGTTATTTTATTATTTATCAAAATCTGCGTTGTCAACTACCTTTCCCTACTCTGTACTTCACATGCCCGTCAGGACAAGGACCTTGCCCTTGACCTTGCCCTTGACCTTGATCATGGCCTTGTCTATCACGGTGATGTCGGTCATCGTTGTTGAGGTCGATTGAGATCCTCAAGAAGGGGGTGAACGGAGGAATGGGGAGCAAAGGCACCATTGGCCGTCCGGTGCCGAGTCATGTCTGGGGAAGTGTGGAGGAGGGGCGGGCAAGTCGACGCTTGGCGAAGATATGGCGATTGTCTGGCGATTCTCCTGCTTCGATCTTTCGCCTTCCTCCTGCTGTGACTGACGGTTCTCCGTACGCCACTTACGCACAATATGTATGCCTATTTCTGTCATAATCAGAGATGCAATAATGCGAATCAACACCAACACAATCCTAAACGGCAGTCACGACGCGTCAGGAAGGAACGCTTCTAAACGATAGCAAACCATAAGAAGGTAAGAACGAATGGCTTGTTTAGCTGCTCTTTCTGTATTCGACCAATCTGCATTCTAGGCCACAATATGTAGTTTTTTGTCTCAAACCAACGCCAACTATCAAAAACAATCCATTACCATCAATAATCAACGGTCCGAGTTCAGATCAAGAGAGACGAGGGAGCGTATCATGACATCAACGGACATATAGGTCTTCTCGCTCACTGCGCTTATCGTACCATCGCCACTATTGCTGCTTTCATGCAAAACTCCGTCTTCGAACCGACTGTTCAATAGCCCGCCGCCAACATCCTCATCATCCCCATCGTTGTCTCTGTCTCCATCATCGACGTTGTCCCCTGCAACAGTCTGTGTGATTGCCGTCGCTGAATCCGGCTGCCAAAACGGTCGCCGTCCCCGCCGCTCTCGGATCTGCTCAATGGCGTCCTTGCGCACGTCCTCAATGAACCGGTTCAGCAGCGTCTGCTGCTCTTTGAAGCCCGGATGGGCGACACCGCCCACCAGCAGCGGTGGGCCCCATTTGAGATACACCTTGTTGTGGCAGTCCGGAACGACGGGCCGCAGCGGGTGGTGCCGGAAGTACAAGTGACAGCAGTAGCAGGCGGCCTTGCTGCAGCCAATGTAGCGGTCGCCGTTGTCTGCCCAGACCAGTCGCTGGGCATGGAAATGCTCGAGCACCTGAACCTCGGCATGGACGCGCGGTGCTTTGAACGATTCGTCGTCCAGCTGCATCCGCTGAGTGAGCTGGTGCTTCTGCTCCAGCTCCTGGAGGCCGGCTGTGAGCTCGGCGAGCAGCTCCGTGTCGTCGCTTCTGCACATGCGCACGGCAATGCTTTCCAGAAGCGAGCGGTGTGTGGCAGGACCAGCCCCAGATGGACGTGGGAGAGGCCGGTATGGGGCACTATCAACAACCGGCAGCGCTTGAATGTGGAATGGATTGAGTAACAAGTCCTCGACATCCATCACACTGCCGACAAGCCGGGCCGGGACACGGATGTGGTCTGCCAGGCGACCTATGTAATGGTATGCCTTGGAAAAGCACTGGAGGGGCGATTGCGCCGAATGCGGCTGGTCCTGCTGCATCTGTGCAAGCGCCTTGAGTGTCTGCATCTCGGCCGATTTGCGCTTGTCGTACGCCAGACGGCACAAGTCTAGACCGGCACCGACAGCACCGAGCGCGTCAGTCGACTGACTGACGCGCTGCAGCCACCCGGCGAGAGCCTTTTCTTGCCCGGAAAAAGTACCGCCCGCCAAACTCGTTGTGCAGTTGTCGATGGCTTTGCGCAGCAGTGCGCATATCTTTTTGATCTTGGACAGTGCGTAGGCTGTGCAGTATGCGGTGATCTCTTTAGAAGCTGTCTCCAAGAGGGCGGTGCTGCTGTTGCCCGAACTGACAGCAGCATGGACGTCCTTGAGCACGGCCACCAGACGGCGCATTAGGTCTGCCAAGAAGGGCACGATTTTGTTCTGTGGATTCGTGTTGGCCGCGACCCAGTACACCAGGCAGTCCTCCCGTTCTTCAATGCCCAGCGCAGTGCACGCATCGCCTCCCTTGTCGTGCTCGCACAAAAATGCAAGATCATCGCGAAACTGCCGGCGGATGTGCTGTGTTGTGATTGGAGAGGGCAGGGTGGCAGATGCCGTGTGTCCGCCGCGGACGGGATCGAGGGCGTGTAAGAGCTTGAGCGGCTCGTACATTCGATTGATGAGCTTTTCATACGGGCCAGTATGCGCCCTAGGCCCGGCGCCGGCTAGATTCTGCGACGATCCGGACCGGACTCTCCGGGTATTCGTTCTGGGAGGCATAATGGAATTGGTACAAAAAGTTGGCCGATTGAAGAAACAGCAGCAAACTCCATGTCGACATCTATTCCGGACTATATATAGTTGTCGACAAAGAATTTTTTTCGACTGGGACAAGGCTTCCTATCGCCTACATTCAATCGAGTGCAGTCCCTTGACAGCGCCCCGTCGGGTACAGTTGCCCAGAACAGCCCAACCAGATGCCTTGGGGGCCGGAGGCCGAGCTGTAGGAGGGACAGCAAGGGAGGACCAGATAGAAGGCGGCATTTGAACAATAAGCACATTAGGCAGCACAGCAATTTTGCACTTTCATTTTGCACTTTCATGCTTCAGTCAAACCAATCATGAAGTCATCTGTGCCTCCATGGAGCAGCCTTGCCATCAGGTCGTTGCGTTACTGAGAGGATCTCGGTGTTTGGTTCATGACGATCGCTCCTTTTTGAAATAAGCAACAACCGGCGGTGCACCAGGCCTGCAGTTGGCCCAGACACAGAGTCCAGCTGGCATCCAGTTTAACCAGGTCTGCCTACCCCTCGAAGGTGGCCGTTTCGCCGGGCGCCAAATTCGTGTCCGCGGCCACAAGGCTCTGATGTGAGACGAGGGGCATAGGCGTCAGGCCATGCATGCGTTTATGCACAAGCGACATGTGACATGTAGCGCGATTCTGTTAGTATTCGCTCGTTAACAGGCAAATATTCTGCTTCTTTGGCACACCTTCTCACTATTCTCTTCGCGACGTACGAGTGTCCCTGTCTGTCGACGTCTTTTCACTCTTGCAGTTCCTGGTGCTAAGGCTTTTCTGCTTCGTACACATCCCACGTTCTCAAGCAAGTGACCAGCTTACTGCTCTAAGGGCCTTCATATACGAACCGGAGCTGCCTTGGCCAAATATCGTGTTGTTCCCAAAGGTCTACCACTGCAGGTCGATGTGTGACGCGCCCGGGCCGGCCGTACAAGCTGCCACAGATACCTGCCCTAATAGCGCCTTCCCTAGCCTCCTGTTTGTCGCACTACCTTTTTGTTTACTTTTGCCCCTTTTTTATTACAACAATGTCATGTGCTACGCGAAGATTTTCACCTATTGGCTCGTTCACGTCAAAATAACAGAAATTGTTCTGCGACACCGCGACACTGCGGCACACGCATCTCTGTCCATGGCAAGTGAACGAAAAGCACAATATATTGGAAATATGTACAGTCGAAGCGAAGTATCCCAATGACAGACCGTCACGAAGAGAAATGAACAAAAAAAAAGAAAAAGAAAAGCAACGCCAAGACAAGTCGAAAAGAACAGAGAAAACAACGCAAAATAAAAGCAAGCCCTAAGAAACGTAAAAAGGCACGACACAATCTCACCCACCTTTTAATTTTTCCCATCGCTCTCCACCACTCCTCCACACGCCATTATCATCTCCCACATTTATCCTTGTCGGCACATTTTCCCCAATACAAATCCACCCATCCAATGTTCATCGCCAAGTGTCGTTTTCCGTGGCCGTGGCGGTGTTGCAGCCCTTGGGCACAGTGTAGGAGCGATTGGGGTCGCTCTCCCAGACAACAGAGCCGTCGGCCTCCTTGCGGATGTACTTGTACTGGAACGTGGTACCGGCGGGCAGGTTGAGGGTGACGAACCACTTGTGGTCGCTCGACGTGTAGTCGGCCGCGCTCAGGGCAATGGCGCTGCTGGTGTCCCAGTTGCCGAGGACAGAAAGGGAGCCCGTCAAGAAGACGTTCTCGCCGTAGCTCGTGGTGGCGATCTCGTTGAAGGTGACGGCGACAGCCGTCGGGGTGGTACAAGCAGTGGTGGAAGTGGTGGAAGTCGAGGTGGCACCGCCCGTGCCGGACGACGTCGAGGTCGGCGAGGTCGTCGCGGTGCCGCTGGCCAGGCTGGACGGCCACGATCCGACGGCGGCCGTGCTGTACGAGCCAGACACCGACGTCGCAGAGCAGACAGAGGGCACGCTGGAAGCGGACGTCTCGCCCCAGGACGGCGGGACGACGGAGTCGCGGCGCATTTTGGCGGTCAGCAGCGCGGCGTAGGACCAGGTCAGGTCGCGGGCGGACAGCGGCGAGCCGGACGACTTGTCGTACTGCTCTGACATGGACCCGTTGGCCATGGCGTACGTTTCCACGATACTGACGTAGCCGTCGGCGTAAGTCTTGGCAGCAGCAACAATGGAGGCGTAGGCGGCGGACGTGGCGCTATAGGTGCCGACGGCAGCGCTGCTGTAGAGATCCTTGAAGAAGGCGAGCGAGGTGCTGTCGATCGTCAGGGAGCCGATGCGGTTCCAGGTGTACAGGGCGTCGTACAGCTGCTCCGCGGCAGCGAGTGTGGTCAGGTACCAGGGGTTGCCGTTGTAGTACGAGTCCTCGGGATAGCGGCCAACGGCAACAGCAACACCCTCGGCCTTGCCAGAGTTGAGCGCGTAGACAGACCGGAACGAGTCGGTGTAGACCTTGTGGTTGGCAAGAGCGCGCGAGGAGCAGGGCTGGAAGGTGGCGTCGTCGCAGGCGGCGGTCGGGTCAAAGGCGTGGATGCTGGCGAGGACCGTGTTGGCATCCTTACCGGTGCGGCCGCCGCCAAAGTTGGCGTTCATGTAGCTGCCGGTCCAGAAGGACTGCATATAGCACAGAATCTGGGGCGCAATGGCGGTGCAGCTCGGGCACGAGGACCCGACGCGGGTGGCAAAGGCGCTGCCCTCGACCAGAGCGCGGTGCTGGGCGGACACGGTGAAGAAGGACGAGCCGCTGACCTCCTCCCAGAGATCGTAGCCGGTCTGGTTCCAGTACTGGGCGACGTAGGCCAGATCGTTGCGAACGACGGGCCAGACATTGGCCGTAGCATAGCTGGCGTAGCCGTTGTCGAGCAGCCAGTTGCCAAAGCCGACGAGCGCCGTGGCACGCAGGGCAGGGCCGTCACGCTGGGGGCGGCCCCAGGATCCAGTGAAGGCGGTCTCGTCGACGTTGAACTTGGGCTCGCCAAGACCGGAGCCGTCGGACAACTGGCCAGACGGGTTGGAGACGGTCTGGAGAGTCGCCTGGCTGTCGATGTAGTGCGTAATGGCGGACTGGACGCTGGCGTCGCCGTTGCGGAAGACCTCGATAAGCGTCTTCATGACAAGGGCAGCATCACGACTCCACGTGTAGTAGTCTGTAGAGCATGGGGGAGGGATTAATAGGAGGGACAAGTACGTGACCAACAAGGGGAGGCGGCGGTGACATACAGTCGGGGTTGGACGTGCTCGGCGAGGCAATGACAATGCCCGACTTGGCGCTGGCGGCGTACTGGCCAGAACTGCCAATGTTGCTAAGAATGCGTTCGACGGCGACGGCGGCCTCGGAGTCCAGCCAGGTGCCGACGTCGGCGCGGGGGTCAACGCGCGACGGGGCACCTAGGACGGTCCGAGCGAGGGTCAAGGCCGCCACGGCCCAGGAACGGAGGGACGGCATTGCGAGCGTGGGAGCCGAGGAAACGGAAGAGCAGTCAAAGACAAGAAGGCAGCTGAGGGCAAGCAGGAGAAGGGCGCAAAGAGAAACGGGCTTTGCACGGCGGAGGCCAACGACGAGCGTTGGTGGTGCGAGGGGAGCGAATGAAAGTGGTGAGGCGGATGGGGATGGAGAGAATGGGTGGTGAAGCGATCGACCATGGCCGTCTGCCTCCTTTATAGAAATCATGACATCTTGGAACGCTGCTGTTGGCAGGGGGAAGCTGTCAGCTCGTGATGATGCGGGTGGGTTTGACGGGGCTCTTGCCCAATGTGGCAGACGAGTGCACTGCAGGTGCTTTGTAATTTGTGGAGGAAGGTGCGGAGGGCTGTGCGGAGGTGCCGTTGGGAAGGCGCGCGGCAGACGATGCGTGGTCTGTGAGGAAAGAGCACCGGGGGGCAAGTACCGGAGGAAAGATCAATCGTGAGTGCACTGGGCTGATTCACGACATCACGGCACCGAAGACGGGCCTTTCCCCACACGTTCCACACCACCTCGAGGAAAGACCGGCCCTACCAGACTCCGCACTTGCCCTCTGCACTCCGCACTTTGTGGAGAGCAGCGAACGCAGGTCCTGCACTTTCACGTGTTTTGCATCGGACGGAAAGTAGAAAAAGAAAAGAAAAAGAAAAAGAAAAAAAAAATAGACGACAACAAAAGGCACAATGACTGGTACGCCCACCACCCCGCGCGAGCTGCCCCAGATGGAATCTGCCGGCCGTACCGTCAGCACTGGCATCTGCTTGGCCCTGGCTAGCGGTGGAGATTGGTGGTGTGGATGTTGTTATTTTGATTGTATTTCTGTATCTTTGTCACATTTCTTTGCTAAGGAGCATAATGCCTCATGTAATTCGTACTCCGTAGAGTTGTATCTCTACTTTATCCTTGTCCATATTAGCATATATTCTATATGTTCTCGGTCTCCAGACGTGGCCCATGGGGTATTATTCCGTACATTTATTGTTCGTTTACTTTTTTTGCATTTTGTTTCTCTGCTTTCCTAAATCCCTCTTATATTTTCCACTTCGTCCATTGCCGTCCTTCATCATCTACTTCTTTCGGGCCGTTCGTGGACCGATCGAAAAGCAGCAAGACCCCCTGTCTTCTCGTCCGCATTTATCACGGCCCACTCGTCTTTTATCTTGCAGACTGCCAAAGTAGACAAAGCCGTGGAAATAGTCGAAATAGGAATAGGCAAAGTACGTCATGTTGCTCCCTACGCCATTGTCTGTCGATCCCCGATTCATCCCATACGGTCGGCGCTATTGGGCCACCGTCGCTTAGGACCTCCGAATGCTTTGCGTGCAGCGCTCGTTTGCACGTACTCTGCAGTGTGCAGTCCTGACTTATCCCCTCTCGCTAAGCGGTCGACTGCAACTGTCAACGACGCGTCATGCAGCGACTGCCGGCGTCACCGCGGCGCCGAAGTGGCCGATGCAGATGCGGAGGAAGGCTCAGGAGGGTGTCCTGGGGCAGACGCTTCCCCATGTCTCAGGTCCCCAGATCCAAGATTCACACGTGCATGTGGCGTGTGTGCTTCTGTACATCGCATGTCGCATCTTTGTCCCAAATGAGGTTCATCCCGGAGTAGCATCAAGAGATGGCAAAGTACGGCCGGTGCCGTTCACCATTTTGAATATGGTGCTTGAAAACCGCGCACCATTCATATGCAGGGCAAGGAACGACGTGCGCCGTATTCTGTACATGTACGTCGTTCTTCCTTATTCGCACAAAGTCCGAAGTGACCCCAGCCTGCGACGTACATATCCGTCCAAGGGCCGACACTACGAAATGCTGCCGAAGCGATGCGACTCTACAACTGCACATCGCAGTGGCCCCCAACCAAAGAAGCAGGGGCCAAAAGCGAGCCATGGTTCGAAGTAGGCAGAGTGTCATGCAGAGTGCAATCTACAAAGGCGTGGTTTGACCTTTCTTTTTCCTTTGTCTATTTTGTCTATTTATCTGTTTGCGCTGTATGCCGCAAGTCAACCTTCCCTGTATTCTGGCAGACGCCATCACTTGTGCGTGCATAAACTTCGGCCAATTGGGCCTGTCAATAGACCAGTCTCGCCGAGGCGCTGGCGACCGCTTGTGACGATCACATCAGGATTAACCAATGGCCTTGCAATAAGGGAACAATACCCCTGGCCACCTGGTCAGTGCGGCCGATTGCAGACGATCGAGGGACCACAGCGAGCTTTCAGTGGCTTCAGACGACAGCTGTTGACTTGAAACAAAGTTTCGACTGTGGGGCCTGCCGTCCTGTAACCTCCGTCATTTTCTGTACTACATACTGAGTGGTTGTGCCTCGTCTCTTTCTCTTTCCTATTAAGGAGAGGCCTTGGCGGCTATTGTCGACTTACACTACGATGTACTTAATAACCTATAAATCGTATACTGACTTATACTGACATATAGCTCTGTCGTCTTTGGGAATCCACTCCAAAGTCGAAATATCGACTTTGTTTTCCTCTCTCTTCCACATCATCCTTCCACTCCACCCTCATCAACATGAAATTCTCCATTGCGTCCCTTCTCTCGCTCGGTCTCCTCCGTGGCGCGGCTGGCCTGTCGCCGGCCGAATGGCGCCAGCAGTCCATCTATTTTCTGCTGACGGACCGGTTCGCGCGCACCGACCAGAGCACGACGGCGGCGTGCGACACAAGCGCCCGCGTCTACTGCGGCGGCAGCTGGCAGGGCGTAATCAGCCAGCTGGACTACATCCAGGGCATGGGCTTCACGGCGGTGTGGATCACGCCCGTGACGGGGCAGTTCTACGAGGACACGGGCGACGGCACGTCGTACCACGGCTACTGGCAGCAGGACATTTACGCACTCAATCCCAACTACGGGACGGCCGCCGACCTCAAGGCGCTGTCCGACGCGCTGCACGCGCGCGGCATGTACCTGATGGTGGACGTCGTGGCCAACCACATGGGCTACGACGGGGCCGGCACGGGCGTCGACTACAGCGTGTTCACGCCCTTCAACAGCGCGAGCTACTTCCACGCGTACTGCGAGATTTCCAACTACAACGACCAGGCCAATGTCGAGGACTGCTGGCTGGGCGACACCACCGTCTCGCTGCCGGACCTCGACACCACGCTCTCGAGCGTGCAGACGCTGTGGTACGACTGGGTCCGGGGCCTGGTGGCCAACTACACCATCGACGGCCTGCGCATCGACACCGTCAAGCACGTCCAGACGTCCTTCTGGCCCGGGTACAACGACGCAGCCGGCGTCTACTGCGTCGGCGAGGTGTTTGACGGCGATCCGGCCTACACGTGCCCCTACCAGGCGGTGCTGGACGGCGTCCTCAACTACCCGCTGTACTACCCGCTGCTGGCGGCGTTCCAGTCGGCGTCGTCCTCCGGCATCGGCGCCCTCTACAGCATGATCTCCTCCATTGCTGCCGACTGCGCCGACCCGACGCTGCTCGGCAACTTTGTCGAGAACCACGACAACCCGCGCTTCGCGTCCTACACGAGCGACTATGCGCTGGCCCAGAACGCGCTCTCGTTCCTATTCCTGGCCGACGGCATCCCCATCGTCTACGCTGGCCAGGAGCAGCACTACAGCGGCGGCGGCGACCCGGCGAACCGCGAGGCGACGTGGCTGTCGGGCTACGCACAGACATCGACGCTCTACAAGCACATTGCCACCACGAACGCCATCCGCGCGCTGCTCATCAGCGCCTCGTCCGGCAGCTGGGCCACGACGGCCAACAAGGCCGTCTATCAAGACAGCACCACCATCGGCATGGTCAAGGGCGGCGTGCTGACGGTGCTGAGCAATCTGGGCGCGTCGGGCGCGTCGTACACGCTGACGGTGACGGGCACGGGCTTGGCGGCCGGCACCGCGCTCGTCGAGCTGTACTCGTGTGCCACCGCGACGGTCAGCAGCGACGGCAGTGTTGCCGTGCCGATGGCTTCGGGCCAGCCGCGCGTTCTCGTGCCAGCGTCGTGGGTGAGCAGCGGTAGCTTGTGTGGTGGGACGGGCACCAAGACGACGACGACATCGACCACAACCACGTCGAGCTGCACTGCCGCCACGGCCCTCTCTGTCGTTTTTGACGAGCTCGTCGCCACGTCCTATGGCGAAAACGTATTCTTGTCTGGCTCCATCGCGCAGCTCGGCGGCTGGGACCCGTCGAGTGCCGTCGCCCTTAGTGCCAGTGCCTATACGTCGTCCAACCCGCTGTGGGCCGCGACCGTCAGCCTGCCGGTGGGAACGACGTTTCAATACAAGTTTGTCAAGAAGGAGTCGGACGGCAGCGTCGTCTGGGAGAGCGACCCGAACCGGTCGTACACGGTTCCGGCCGGTTGTGCAGGGGGGACTGTGACTGTGTCGACAAGCTGGAGATAGTCTGCATCGGCATGATGTGGGACGGGTCTATTTTCTTTCTTTTGTTCATGTATGACGATTTCTGATTTCATTTCGGGACCTCTTCTTGTAGGTCGTCCGTTCTTGTCTTCTCATGTACTTATTTGTCCAACGTTTGTATATACACACCAGATTGACTGCTTTGCTGCGCACATCGTGGCCGCTAGCGACTCGTCTAGGCATAGCCCAGATTCCAGAAATTGTTAATGTTCGCCTCCGAATCCGCGTCGACAAACTCGGGTGCCGCCCGGAACGTCACGCTCTCGCCGTGAATCTCGGCCACGCCGCCGGACGGCTCGCTCCCTGTCAAAATCTCGTTCACGCCCTTGGTCAGGGTCGTCATCGGCGTCATCTTCATCGCCTTGAAGAGGTCCTTGCTCGGCGCAATGTTCGTCTCGAGCACGGCGGGTGCCAGCCCAAAGATCTCAATGGCCGCCCGTTCGAGCGGCTGTGCCAAGGAGCGCACAAGGCCAATGACGCCGTTCTTGCTGGCGGCATAGATGGGGGCAACGGGGAACGGGTACAGACCGGCATTCGATGCCGTGCAGATAATGCGCCCGCGGGAGGCGGCCGCGCGCAGGCCGTAGACGGTAGGTACGTTTTTCTTCATGTAATGTGTCGCGAGTTTGATGGCTGCAATGTTTATTGTTTATTGTTTCCTTTGTTAGCAAGCTCTGTTACTTTGTTGTGGCGCCGAAACGAGGGCGCTATTCGTCCGCCACGCACGCATCCTCGCCCCGCACGTACTAAAAATGGTGCCGACCAGATTCACATTCAACGTTCGCATCGATGGTTCCGAGGGCTCGCCCGGCTCGTCCTTCATGGCTTCTGCCACCAACGGCGACTCGCCGTTCTCCGAGATGCCCGCGTTGGCCATGACCACGTCGATGCGGCCGCCACACGCGTCGTACACGTGCCGGAACGCCGCCGCCTGGCTGACCCACGAGGCAACGTCGCATTCGACAAACGACACCTGCGTCGAGCCAGAACTGGCCGTCTTCAGCTTGGCAACGGCTTCGCCGCCACTCGTCTTGTTGACATCCAGCACGGCCACGTGCCCGTACTGCTGGTCGACAAAGTAGCGTGCCATGGCCCGGCCGATGCCGCTGGCGCCGCCAGTGACGACGGCAACCCGGGAGGTGTTCATAGGGAGGACGGGGGAGGACGGGGGAGGGAGGTCGTTGGTGGTCGGCCTCTGAGGTTTGCAATAGACGAAATCGAAGTCGATGATGTTTTTCAAACGAAGGAAGAACCAGTGCTGAATGGTAGGATTGGGAGAGGAAGGAGCAAAGGAGCAATTGACAAACAGGGACACGAAACAATTAAAGGAAAGAGCGCAATATGAAAGACGAGGAAGCTGCGAACGGCGATTTTACACAACGGGTCTCTGCTGCTCATGAATGACCTCCTCCACTCCTTTGCTCCAGTGCAGTGTTTTACACCCGTATTCCATCGGTTCGGTTAACATGACTGGTGTTGCCTCCGATGCAGCGACTACAGTGCTAACTTCATCTGCCGTTGGCGCTAGCGACTGTGTAAGTGGTTTTGCGGGGAAGTGGTCACTTTCTCTCAAGGTCACTGTCGTATTTCACATTTGTTTCTATCAAATTCCTTGACGCGTATCCAATAGTAGGCCTGAAAAGAGTAAGTGTGTGAGAATGGGCGTGATATTACAGTATAAAAATGTCTGCTACTGGGCTGCTGTATTAACTGTTTGTTTCCATTTCTGCGTTGTAGTTTGGTCTGGCTGTTGAGCCTTGGAAAATTCAGTTTATACAAAGCTCAGGACTTTCTTTTGTAAATTACCCTCTATTGTCCTGCAGTACGTCAAAAAGCTTATATGACTGCATGCCACATCGTCTCGAAATCAACAGGCCCATATCGACCATTGGTACAGTCTGGCTCAGGCCTCGTGTCGTCAACCTACAACCTTCGTAGCCGTTTAGAAGAAATGGGCCCTCATTACGGTCAACTTGCCAATTCAAAGCATACTCTATTTATTGTCTTAGTTTAGTTACTGCACGGTTACGTTGTCTGGAAGGACACTTCTGTCGCAACAGCGTGCCGCGTCTTATTTCTTTTTTTCAGGCATTTTCGAGACATACGTACCCGGTTTCTGGGTTGCCTGGACCCACGTTTTCGCGGCAGAGATCGCACGGGATGTCGCCTGTGTGTTTGAGTCTCACTTTTGCCGTTTGCTTCTCGTCTCTCCGCTATTCCAGTCGGTGCCTTCCTTCTCTGGCCCTCGTTCAGCTGAACCGCCGCTCCTTCCCCGTTTCCCTTGGATTGCCCCTTCTTTCCCAAAATGGAACACGTTACATTGGCGAGGCAGTCGCGCCTGCAAGCACGACTGTCAGCCGTTACGAGCACGCCGACAGCAGCTTCCTCGCCGTCTCACTCCGCACTTGCCTTATGCAATGCAACGTCTACGCCCATTTCTCGCACCACAAAAGACGCCGGCGATGGCTCAAGCGACGATCGTCAAAACAAGAACCTCGGCGAGGACAAGCACACAGGCTCCACCCCAAGGACCACGCCTCTGCCGTCGACGGCGGGGGCGACGACGTCGCCTGACATGTCCCTCCAACCTCGACGAGAGGCATTGACCATTAAAGGCGACGATGGCCGGTTGCGACGAAAGGGAAACCCGGCGCCAGTGGCTGCTTCGACGACACAACGCGCATTTTTGGTCCTAGGCCTCCCTCTGCGCATCCCACACCGACAGAGCCGGATTCTCCGCATGGCCTTCTTCTCACTGGCGGCCGTCTGGGCCCTGTGGTCACTGCTTTTGCTGTTGTCTGGCCGGCAACAAGCGCTGGCCATTCCAACACCAGGACACAATGACGCCCACCACAGTCACGGCCATGACAGCCACGGCCACGACAGCCACAAATTCTACACGGCCCGTCCGTGCAAGGCGGCCACGTTTGCCAGCGTCCTGCCCAGCTTCGCCGCTATCGAGCGTGTCGACACAGTCGCGGCCAACGGCAACTACGGCGAAGGTGCAGCCGACCTGGGCTTTCCCAGCAACGCCACCCTGCTTCCGCCTCTCTGCGCCGTCACCGTTGCCGTGCACAACGGCTCGTCCAACTATCGTCTCGCCCTTTTCTTGCCAACAGCCACCAACTGGAACGGCCGGCTGATGACGATTGGCAGCTACTCGTTCGCGGGCGGCATCAACTGGCCCAACATGGGCGAGGCGCCGCACTACGGATTTGCGACGCTGGCGACCGACGGTGGACACAACTCGTCGCAGAGCGATCTGGACTGGGCGCCGACGACACCGGCGAAGCTGGCCGACTGGGGCTACCGGGCCTTGCACGGGACGGTCGCTCTCGGCAAGACTTTGGTCGAGACCTACTATAGCGACGCGCGCATCGCGTACTCGTACTACAGTGGATGCTCCACCGGCGGCCGCCAGGGCCTCAAAGAAATCCAAATCAGCCCGGACAGCTTTGACGGCGCGCTTGTGGGCGCGCCGGCCTGGGACACGTCACGGCTGATGCCGTGGCTGACCCGTATTGGCGCCGCAAACTTGCCCGACGACGGCGCCAACCACATTGACCTGCCCGACTTTGCGGTGCTGGCGGCGGCCGCACTGAAGCAGTGCGACCACCTGGATGGGCACAACGACTCCATCATCAGCCGGCCCGAGGCGTGTGTGCTGGACTGGGCACCCATCACCTGTGGCAATGCCGCCGTACCGCCCGGCGAGCCGTGCCTCACGCCGGCTCAGGTCAAGACGGCGCGGTACCTGTATGCAGACGCTTTCACGGCATCGGACGACTTCATCCACAGCGGCTACTCACTGGGGTCGGAGGACCAATGGAACGTCTACCTGGCCTTTGGCGACGCGAGCGACTTTGACACGCGCTACGAGCGCTTCTGGCTTTACAACGACACCACCTGGAATTGGACCCTATACAGCGACCAGGTATTTTACGATTCGCTCCGGCTCAACCTGGGCAATGCGTCGGCCGACGACTACGACATCTCGGCCTACCGCGACCGAGGCGGCAAGGTGCTGATGTACCAGGGGCTAGCAGACGGTGTCATCACGCCACGCATGACCACATATTACTACAATCAGACGATGAAGGCGATGAACTTGACGTTGGCGACGGCGTTGGACAAACGAGACGAGACCAGTGAGACAAGTGACCGCCACCCACACCACAAAGACACAAACCCTCCCATCCAGGACTTCTTCCGCTACATCCAGGTCCCGGGCATGCAGCACTGCTTCGCCTCTCCGGAAGAGGTTGCCGCCCCGTGGATGTTTGCCAGTCCGGGCCAGGCCACCCTCTTGTCCCAGGATTACGGCTTCGGCCCGGGATGGGGCGTCCCCAATCAGCCGGCCAGTGCCGCCCACGACGCTGTCCTGGCCCTCATGGCCTGGGTGGAGAATGCGGTCGCGCCGACGAGTATTGTGGCCAGCGTCTGGAACCCAGACGGAACCGTCAACCGGACCCGTCCACTTTGTGTGTACCCGCAGGAAGCCGTGTACGGCGGAAAGGGGAGTCTTAACGTGGCAGCCAACTGGAGCTGCAAGTGAGAGAAAGCATAGAACAAGAGAGAATCTAAAGATACGTGAATGATAATGATCGGATTCGTTGCTAATGAACATGTATTGGGTTGCTTACATGCTTCGAGAACCTTTGCAGGCGACTGCATATTGTTTCCTCGTCTCCGCTCCGATGCGCCCTCGCATTTAGCCCACAGTCATTGCATAGCTCCGCGTTGCTGACGACCACGAGGTCGAGCTGTGCCCGTCCGAGTAGCCCATCCGGAATTCGTATGTCGTGTGCCCAATGACAGTCTCGACTGTCGCCGTCTCGCCCGCCGGCACATCTGGTATGAGTGTCGTCACAGTCTGTGTCGTAACCATTGTCACCACCGTGGCTGGGATCCACATCGGGTGTGTTACAGACGTCTGTGTGGAGGACCAGACGACGGTGTGTATTGCCGGTATGCCGGTCGTTGCGGGAGCCACTGACTCGACAGCCGTTTCGACGGCCGTGACGGCCGGTCCTGGGTTGGGGTGGGCCGTTACGATGGCCAGGCTGGCCAAGAGCAAGAAGAGGGGACTGCTCAGTGTGTAATGCATAATGAATGTTGACGGGCAATGGCCTGTTGCTTTTATACGAAAACAGCACTGAAAACGGCCGAGGGCAGAGAGAAAATGAAAACTCTTTTGTACGCGCAGAACATCATGAAGATGTCGACGAGACGACACGGAACTTTTAAGCCAATCTCCTACAACTGGGTATCTCTTAATTAAGAGATCCTGCGGTTAAGTGAACGGATATACAAGCAGCGTTATACGTGGTCATTGATGGTCTGTAGTATCCAGGATTGATGAATTTACCCGGTACAACCTGCCTTATTAGGATGCGTAATAGGATGGTCTAGATACCTTGTATTCATCGCCGCTTGTGTACTATTGAATTAGTCGTCTATCGCGTAAGAGAAACTATCGCAATTTAAATTTGGTGTTCCTGGTGACGTTGATGGGGTCGCGAGTGTTGGCATTTTGACACTTGCATTGGCCTTGGAGCTGGCAATCCAGCTATCACAGTTTCTTTGACATTTAAAAGGGCATATTCACATAGTCATCTGCATCACCAAGCATCCTATCAGGTCACCAATGCGGCGACGTCTTCATTGCGATATCTATGAGCATAATCCTCCCAAATGTTCCTTGCAGCGCACTGCCAAATACCACGAAACCAAAAACGCAAAAATAAAAGAACCACACAGCTAAAAATCAACAATAATACAAATATGTCCCACTCACAAAGACTAATCCAAGCCAAAATAGCAAAAAAATTTCGTCAAATCATACTTACATAAAACTTCGTTATATTGCGTCTGCGTCTCCACTAAGAGACGACCGCCGCCACGACACAGGAAACTGGCCTCTGCTGTTTGAAGAGAATCAATGTCCTCTTCTTTTTTCGCATGTTTCATTTCTCACCCATATATCTGACCTTGCGGCTCTGGTCCTCGTCCTTCAATCCCTCCTCAAACGTACATCCGCTGGTGTGAGTGCGAGCTGCGCCGGCTATGGCCGCTTCCACTCCGCGGGCGCGATCCGCCACGGCTGCGGTGGCGGCGCACGGTCGTCGTCTCCGTCACCACACGCCGGTCGTGCTCCTTGCGGCTCATCTTGCCACCGTGCATCCAGGCGAGGACGGCGGTGAAGAAGAAGAAGACAATGTTCATGATGCCCAGGGCAAAGCTGGTCTTGAGCACGGCGCAGGGCGTGTTGGAGCCCAGGACATTGATGCCTTGGCTGGTCAGCGTCAGCAGGCTGCGGGCGTGCTTGAGCCATGCGTTGGTGCTCTCGACGTGGTAACAGTTGGCGTCGGTGATGAAGCGCAGCTGGTAGACAGCGCCAATGAGCGCTCCCACAAACGCGAGGTCGACGAGTGAGACAAAGTGGGAGTTGCTGCTGCTGCGGTGGTAGCTGAAAAGCGTGACAATGGTCCAGACGACGCCGAGAACGGACACGATAAAGAGGACGAGGATGTAGTTGGGGGTGAGTTCGTTTTCGTTGATGTAGGCGTGGATGAACCAGGACAGCATGCCCATGATGGGGATCTACAACAAACAATTAGACGGGAATGACACCACTATGCGACTGTCAAGAATGCAAAACTCACCAGAGTGAGAATCTGTGCAAAGCGCCAAAAGGCGAAGAAGATGGCGAACAACATGGTGACACAGGCCGATGCGGCAAGGCGACGAGCTCACAACGTGTACAGCGCACAAAAAAACGAAATGTCGATTCTGCTACGCAGACCTGCGGGTAGGATGGGATGCGACGCGTGATCCTGCAGCGAGCTGCGACGGGGGTCACACACTCTCAATCGTTGGAACTTGTGGTTCGATGTATTTTGTCCTGTTTTATCTCGTCAACGAAAGGAATGCGGATACGGGGTATTAGACAAGGTTATCGATCGGGCGGGAAGAGGAATGTGCGCCGTTGAGCGGATCGGAATGGCGGGCAGCGAGAGTTGCAGTTGAAGGTGAAGAGTCGACCGTTGGAGGAGTAAAAAGTTGCAGGAGAGAGAGAAGAGGTTGAAGATTTCGAGGTACACAACACTTGACGCCAAGATGACGAAGGTCTATCCACAGTTCCTTCCTGTTTTTGCTCGATAGGGTGGCTGGGAGGGGAAAGAGCGACCCGGATACGGGCGGGAGACGATGGAAGGTGTACAAAGTAAAGTGCGCAAGGTCGCCGCCTCGTTCGCTCCTGCCCCCCAAAACGACCCCAAGGAAGCAAGGAAACGGCCTCGATCCAGCCACCGTCGCACCTTCCCAATATTACGCCTATTATGCAGCCATCTTTGCACCCCGTGACAGTGCCCAATAATACGTGCAGCCTGCGCACTTGGATGCATAAGTGCTTGCAGAAGCTTACACGACGGCCGAGAGGAGGGGGAACTGACGACGCTTTCCGCAAAACGGCAGCATGTTTTGAATCCCACGTGTGCTGGGTCTGCACTTGTCAGTGAACGTTTGGAGGGGTGGCTGGGCTGGCTGGACAACGGCAGGTGGGGATTTTCAGTCGAGACGCTTGGCCAATCAGGTGTGACCGTGTGGGGTTGCCTTTTACGGACGAGGGAAGGTCCGGTCCACAAACAGAAGCCCGACAGAGTGGCCCGTGCATCCGATAAGATAAGCTTGAAGCCTCCAATTCTTCCCGATGACAAACAAACCGACAGCAGATCGGAAAAGCCGACACCAATTGGTCAGTATGGTCAACGGCCGAATTGTCGACGGCACAAGATACCACTGCTCCGGGTGAGCTGCAAACGTACAAGGTGCGGCGGCTGGACGAGATACGGTAGATGTAATAGTACTGCATTTGCGTGTCCAGTTTTTAAAAAATTTACGGCTTTGATTTTGCGTGATTTCTAACTTTTAAAAAAGGATTTTAAATTTTAAAGGAGGGCCGTCAAAAAAATCGGCAAAATAAGCGAAATCCGTCGTTTTATTATGCTTAAAGAATCGACAATTGGATACCGATCCTAACAGCCTTCCTTCCCGATGTTGTTGTGCCGCCACTGACAAACCGTCGGATTTGGAGTTAACGCCGTTGGTACTTCGTAGCAAGGATGACAAAAAAGGAAGTTGGGTTTGGGCAGAATCCCGAAGGATTGACCCATCGACTTACATCATTCGATGGCGTCGGGAATGGCGTTAAACCAGGGGCTTAACGACGGCCTTCGACGATGCCACCAAAAAAGTCTTACCAAATCTCAACGGGAGCTCTAGGACCACCAAAGCACTGCTATGGGGTTCTCGAATTAGCCCTGTCGGAGTTGAGCTTGTCGGAGTTGAGGCAGCAGCTGAGGGTCAAGCAAGACTGGCCGCAAAACTGACAAAGACGGGCGATGTCTGACAAACGGGGGCAGAGATCCATGTGTATGTTGACAATGGTTGAGTTCTTCCCACGGAATTATTTGCCACGGACTTTGCTTATCGACGGGATTCTTTGGTATAAAAGAAGGAGGATGTCGAGGTCGAGCTGAGAACGAAAAGACTCATGTCATCAACACACTCGAGCAGTCTCTCCAACAACATTCCAAACATTCCAAAAATTCAATCAGACACCCCCTTCTCTTCAGATCTTTGCGATCCTCACTATACCTGTCAACCAACCCTTCAACATGGCCTTGTCCGAGTGCTGCGTCAAGGGCTTCGTTTGGGAAGGCACCCCTGAGGGCCGCGTTGGCAAGATCGCAGGCGGCCAATACAATGCCTACATCGCCGGCAAGAACTCTCCTGCTGCCGTCCTCTTCATCCACGACGTCTATGGCTGGGAAAACCCCAACGCCCGTCTCATGGCCGACCACTATGCTCGGCAGACTGGCGTGACCGTCTATGTGCCCGACTTCTTCCGCGGCGAGGTCATCCGCCGCTCCGACCACCCAGAGCTCGCGGACGCCGAGTTCCTGAAGCAGCATGTCCTGCCCTTCGTCGGCCGCCACCCTCGTGACGCCCGCGACAAGGACGTCTTTGCCGTGGCCCGCGCCCTGCGCCGTGAGCACGGCCACGACAGACTCGCCGTAATTGGTTACTGTTATGGCGGCTGGGCCGCGTTGCGTCTGGGCGCCAAGCCCGAGGACCAGCCCGAGGACGAGGACAAGGATGCCAAGCCAATTGAGGGGCCCCTCGTCCACGCCGTGTCCACAGCGCACCCGTCGCTCGCCACCGAGCGGGACCTGGCCGGCGTGGCTGTGCCCCTGCAGATTCTGGCGCCCGAGATCGATCAGCTGTACACGCCGGCCCTGAAGCAGTTCACCTTTGACGTGACGGCCAAAAACGGCATCCCCCTGGACTACCTGCACTTCCCCGGCGTCGCACACGGCAGTCTGATGCGCGGCAACCAGAAGTCCCCCGAAGCGCGCAAGGTTGTGGAGCGCGCACAGTACGCCGCCATCAACTTCTTTAAACTGAACCTGGGCCTTATCCATTAAGTGGACAGTGGGGGGTTAGTATTCTTCCAATCAGCCTAATCCACCATTGGTTTTTGTAGACGCTGTGTTAAGCAGAGGCTAGGAGGGGACGCTATACTGTTCAGTACTTGACGGATAAACGTCCCATGTCTGGATGAATGGCTCGGGGTGAATTGCTAGAGTTCGGTTTTAATTTCTCATATTATCGTCATTTCATTGCGAGACTTGATAAACAAAATAATCAATAAATTCCTTTCAAATACAATTCTAAACTCACTTGGCAAGAACATGACAAAGCTACCATGGTGGTTGGAATCGGTAGCCACGGTTTGTCGAAAGCCTACGTTCTGGTGGCTGTTTTGAGTCAAGTGTTCGGTGTAAAGGCAGACACAAGAAAATGCTGGAAAGATACACCGTGCGACAGTCGCTTTGATGAGACGGCGTTTCCTGGACCGTGGGAGGACAGTATTCTCGCCGCGGCAACACGCACAATCACTCCAAGGTCGGTCGTCGAGACACTGACAAAAACAGTGAACGGTGACCTAATACCGACTTCGCGTGCACCTTACGACCCGACCAAGGTGCCTCTCGTACTCGCCGGCAATGGCTCACAGGTTGTCTTTGATTTCGGGCAAGAGGTCGGTGGTCTGGTGACGTTGATATACACCGTTAGCAGAAATGACGAAATACATATTGGGGGTGACGACGACGACGACGACGACGACGACGCGGAGAACCGGGATCACAGTACGCGCGACGCACCGACATCACGCAAAGCACGCATCGGCCTTGCATTTTCCGAGTCGAGCGACTTCATCGGCCAGTGGTCCGACGCCTCAAACGGCGCATTTCAAGGGCCCGATGGTGCTATTTATGCCGAAATTGATGAACCTGGCGAGACCACTTACACCATGCCAGACGCCTCACTCCGGGGCGGATTCCGGTACCTCACCGTGTTTCTCGAGGCCGACGGTGACGGCAACGCCGGCCTTGTGGCTGCTCTCCACAACGTCACGCTTGACATCGCATTCCAACCCACCTGGCCCAACCTGCGCGCCTACCAGGGCTATTTTGACTGTGACGACCCGCTTCTCAACCGCATTTGGTATGCCGGCGCGTACACGCTGCAGACCAACGCCGTGCCGCCGACGACGGGACGTCATGTGCCCTTTTTGAAAACAGGCTGGGCCAACGACGGCTTGTTGGGACCTGGTCATACCATCTTGGTGGACGGCGCCAAGAGAGACCGCGCTGTGTGGCCCGGCGACATGGGCGTGGCGGTGCCGTCACTGTTTGTGAGCACTGGCGATATGGAGTGAGTCCTACGTGCAGCGGTTGGCAGCCAGAATCGGAGTGCTCCATTCAGCTAATGCCGGTAGGAGCGTCAAGAATGCGCTACAAACCATGTATGACAATCAGGTAAGAGCATAATGTCCTCCAGCCTCCACTTTGTGTATCTTGGACACACTAACAAGGAGGACAGAATCCCGACGGCTCGTTCCCTGAGGCCGGCCCGCCACTGTTGCAACAAGGAAGCGATACGTACCATATGTGGACCATGATCGGGACGTACAATTATGTTTTGTACACCAACGACACGACTTTTCTGGCACGTAACTGGGCAGGCTATCAGCGGGCTATGTCGTTTATCACGGCGAAGCAGGTCCAGGTTGACAGCAAACGGGGGTTGCTGAATGCCACTGGCGTGCGTGACTGGGCCCGACTCAACGTCGGCGGCAACATGACGGAGGCGCAAGTAATTCTGTACCAGACGCTGACGACGGGCACACAGCTGGGAACTTGGCTGGGGACGAATGCAACTGGGAACACGAGCACTGTCTGGGCAGCCGCCGCTGAGCATCTTCGAAACATAACTCTGGCTACCTGCTACGACCCACAGGTCGGCCTTTTCCGCGACAATGCTTTACCCTCCTCGAAAATTTATCCACAGGATGCCAATGCGCTGGCCCTTGCGTTCGGTATGACCAGCAGCAGTGTCACGGCCGTTTCCTACGACGTGGACACATTCTCGGTGAACATTTCCGACAACCTTGTCCGCAACTGGCAATCTGCTGCCAATCCGTATCCCGTTACGCCCGAGCTTCCTGGTCATGTATCGCCGTTTATCTCATCATGGGAGGTTCGCGGTCACTTCCTGGCGCGTGAGACAGACCGCGCCTTAAAACTGGTGCGCTCTGTTTGGGGTGGCTACCTCGATCGGCTCGACGGCAGCCAGAGTTCTTTAGTCGAGGGTCATGTGATAGATCCTGGAAGCGAGGGACTCTCTTTTGGTTATCGATGGAACCGTGGGTACGGCGGCGCACACAATGACACAGCCGTCGCCGCGAGCTATACGAGCCACAGCCACGGCTGGTCGGCCGGACCGACAAGTGCACTCACCGAATTTGTGCTGGGTTTGTCTGTGACGGGCGTTGCAGGATCGACGTGGCAGTTTGCGCCCCAGATGGGCGGTCGTGGCAGCGGGACGAAGGGGATCGGTCGTGCAGAAGGCGGGTTCATCACGCCGCTGGGAAAGTTCCAGGCGAGTTGGGTGTGCAGCTGTTTCGCCAACGGCACTTGTGATGATATTGGGAAGAGCGACAACTCCTTTGAGGCAACGGTAAACACACCACAGAATACGTCGGGCGTCATCATCCTTCCAATTGCTGGAATCGTCGAGAAAGATGCCATGAAAAGTGGAGCTGCCGTTAGAGTGGTTTTAAATAACTTTGTGATACAAAATCCTCAGATAGAAGATGTGGGAAACAGGGGGAAAGACAAAGCGAGCGTGGCTGTTCTGCACGTTCAAGGGGGAAGTAACACTGTAAAGATATCTCGGGTATTAGATTAACACAAAACAGACAACGTTGGAGAAGACCGTCTTTGTCTATGGTCAGCCAAGGCGGGCTTGAACAGTTGGCAACGAACGAAAATAAACAGAAAATCATCGAGAGCAAATAAAAGCAGTTATCTTGCATGGGATATCTCCGACCTCTCATCCGCCAACTGCTTCGGGTATCGTTCGTTTGAATTTCCAAACCGTCGGAGGACAGTTCACTCGCTGGCTTCGGGCTTGGTTTTCTGCGCCGTGCCAATGACGTCCACCCAGTTAGGGGCCCGTACATTGCGTTCCGCCGAGATGACCTCGGCATCCAAGCCGAGCCGCAGCAGGTCTGTCTCAGTGGCCCACTCACTCGTGGCCATAATACCGACCGGCACCTTGCCCACGACGTCGGGGCCGGCGATTGTACCCGCATTTGGCTGGCCCTCAGGAACAGCATAGCCGGCCGGGAAGCTAATCGACGGAAGACCGCAAAAGTTGGCGAGCCAGACATACTCCATGGTGCGGATTGTCGTGTCGCCGTCGCTAATACCCCAGTGGCTTTCGTTGGGGTTTCGGACTGGCCAGCCAGCGCAGCTTGTCGTCGGCGTCATGATGACCATGCCAGGGTATTTGTGCCACAGGTGGGACAGGTGATTGGCAAGCAAGCGGCGTAGTTTTTGAGCAAGCAGGTGGTCCGTGGATGGTGTCGTCCGGCCGAGCGCGAGGAGAATTCGGTTGGCCATGGTCAAGTTGCCGTACTCCGGCAAAAGGCCGGCAGCGTCAGTCAGCACAGTTAAGGCGTGCGCTGTTTGACCCTCGACAAGGTACGGGATCTCAATGTCCACTGTCTCGTAGCCGTGCTCCCGGACCAAGCGGTCAATGTAGCTCAGACAAAGTTCGCGCACAACAGAATCGGCACGCTCGAACCATGCGCGAGGAATGCCCAAAGTGCGCTGCGAAGTCGCGGAAGAATGCGTGACCGATAGCGAAGAGGGATATGACGGTTGGGCACGGTCGAGAAGAACAGATGGCGGTGGCACCGGTGGAAAAATGGACGTAGGGTGTGGCTGGCCGAGGACAGAATAAACAGTCGCCAGTGTTCTCAAATCTCCGGCGAGGGGACCAAGACACGCGCACGTCATGCAGTGATTCTGACCAGGTTTGAAGGATAGGCGACCGTGGGTCGGCTTGAGACCGTACACAGAGCAGAAAGAGGCTGGAATCCGGACGCTTCCGCCGCCGTCACTGCCGAGGGCGAAGGGGATGAGACCGGACGCTACGGCATATCCACAGCCAGACGAACTGCCGCCAGTGTAGTACTTGGGGTTGTAAGGATTCGGTGGTGTGCCGTAGTTGGTGTTGTTACCTGGTGTGTCCAGCCCAAACTCGACCATGTGCAGAGACCCGATAATGACACAGCCGGCCTCTTTTAGCTTGCGGACCGACCAACAATCAATACTTCCGTCTTCGAATTGGTCGCTCGTGTAGTCGTTGACGGAACCGAGGCACGATTTGTACCCATCCATATCGTACTCGTTCTTGACGGCGGTCGGCACGCCGTCGAGAGGGCCGAGGGACTTCTTCTTGCGGTACCGGAGCGTGGAGGCTTCGGCAGCCTTGAGAACGAGCTCCTCTCTCGATTGGAAAAAGGCAACCTGGTGCGGTCCAGGCTCCTCGCCGGCAGAACTTCCCTTTTTACGAATCAGTGGCAACAGGCTCCGAGCCACGTCTGTCGGAGTCAGCTTTCCAGAGAGGTAGAGATTGTGGTAGTCCTCCGCCGTGTAGTATCTTGTAGACGGGTACTTGTCTGCGGCCGGGACGGGAAGAGATGCTGGCAAAGTCAAGTCAAGGCGGCTCTCTTTTGTCCATTCTGGCGCATCGGGGTCCGGCAAAGGCACAATAGTTGGCTCATAAAAGGGCTCGTAGTCTTGAATATCCACAAAGATCTTTCTGAGCGAGCCAAAGCCAGCATTCAACCAGACAAAATGGCGCACAAAGCCGAGCCATTCCATGCTGCAATTGGTTGTCAGTGTCATGTCGTGAACAGTGGAGGTTACACGTACCTCAGCACTGGTCCTTACATGTAGGCGCAGACGACCAGGATCGGGCCCCGAAGCGCGGGATTGGATTTTCGACCATTGAAGTAGGGCACATCCGGGCTTGAAGAGCGTTTAGTACAGATCCCATATCATGATCTTGGTAGGGGCCAAAACATACCCTTTGATCGGCTCCGGGTAGTTGATATAGCCCCGGCGTTTACTGTCGGGATCCATGATAGGTCTAGTTGTTGGCCCTTCACCGGTGGCGGTTAAGGTGCTGAGATTGATGAGAGCTGTCAAAAGGCCACAAACTACTGTAGCAAAATCGAGAGTTGTGAGAAACGAGAGTGGTGGGGGGGAAATGCCACAGAGAGTATCAAAATAAAGAGGGAAGTGGGAAATGGAGGCAGATAAATATCACGCGGTGGAGGCACGCGGTGGAGGCCAGTGGCCGAGCAATTACAGAGCCAATTTCGCAGTAATCCCTGGGCAAGGGGGCAATAGGGACTCTGCTGTGTGAAGAAGAAAAACGAGATGGCGACGATATGAAGGGTTAAAAAAGAGGAGCAAAACGATCCGCAAAAAGATGCACAGAAGAGCTGCAGTTGATTTCCGGCCTCGTATGGCACACGTGTTAAAGAGGGCAGGAACGAACGTGTACTTCGAATATTAGGAAGCAAGCTGGCAGTTTTGGTATGCGCGAGGGGAAGGTGGCTTCGTGCACGTCGTAGCATCGTCCGTTCCTTCCGCTACCGTCAATCTGGTGGAGCAAAGCGATATGGCGCCTGCCCTGTGAGCATACTGTGTCTGCTTGCGGCTCTGGTGAGGCAAGTGCGATCAAGCGGTGACGAGTGACCACCAGTACGAGCATCAAGTGAGCTCCAGTGAAGGTGGACTCCATTGGAGCTTGGTAGCAAAGACATCGGTAGCTGAAAGCTGAGCTTTGAGCTGCGTTCCTTGTTTTACGTTTCCGTTGCAGATCTGCCTATGCAAGCCGCACAAACCAAAGCCCTGGCGCTGTCGTGGAGCGGGTGCCATCTTGGGCCTCTAGAGATTTTGTACTTTTAAACAAGCAGCCATTTTGCTTCATTGCTCTTTCCGTTTGCAACATCGTTCCCTTCTCCGACCGCTACTTGCCGGCTTCCTGGTGCTGTAGAACGCCGGAACAGCCGGCACTGTAACTGTAAGCAGTAATCTTAGCACTGGATGTTCTGTGTCCGCTACTTTGAACACTACACTTAAAGCGCACTGTATGTAATTAAGGCTAGGCTGTTCTCCAGACTGCCGCTTTCACATGCATCCACTTCGGCAGTCTGCTGTTGTCCCAATTCGCGCTCAGGGGTGAAAACAAAGCGGCAGAGGTTCCGAAATGCTGCCTTGAGTGACTGCGACGTAGGAAGGCTGCTGAAAGGAGCCGGTTGTTTTACAAACCCGAATGGCCGACGACTTGGCTGCAGTGACGAAACTGCAGGTAAGGTCTGTTCTCTGCGATGCACTAAAGAAACCCCGCTATGGTTCTGTAGCGACCGTACTCCACTGAGATGGAGACACGCGTTCAACGGTGCGGCTTGTCAACAAATCTAAGCTGCCCCATTTGCAAGACGGTTTAATGTGTGGTATGTTTGTGTTTGGGCGTATTGCCGTATCATTCACCAACAGGGGGCCGAATGACAGGAGTGGATCCAAGAGAGCTGAGGGTGCTGTTTGACGAGCTCCGTTGTTGGTGAGAACAGAACAGGCTACACGTTTGCACGTGACTCTCTGCAAACAAATTAGACAGCCCCCCGCCTAAGCAAACTTCAGCCTTGTGCATCGTCGTCCATACAATATTGCACTTTGCACCAACTGAACCGGATCTTCGTTTGTCAGAGGACACCTGGTTTTTTTACGCCCGCACTCGTCATTATTTTTACCTAGCAGCTTTATTTCGTCAAAATGTCTATTACGCCGACTACACGCGACCAGCACCACGTCCCAGAAACCCCCTAAATACCTGTCTTGCCCAGTCTGACATTTGATACGTGACTGTTTGTGACTGCGTGATCGGATAACTTCCAGGCTCCATGGCTAGACAGAAGAAGCAAAAGAAGAGTCCTCAGGCTCTACCATCTGCACCACCCGAGCTTGTGGAGAAATCGCCTGCCGAACTTCAAGCAGAGCTTGTGGTATGCTGCTCCTGCTCTATTTCCGTTTTCGACAAACTGCAATTTCACGCTGACTTTTGTATAGGAAAAATACAGCGAGTTTTTAGACGAATCGCTCATCATTCTGATTTTCGGCGAGCAGGGCTTTGAAAAGGCAGACAAAGCTCTTGCCTCCCTTGCAGAAAATGTCTTCGCCGAAGAAGCCACCGGTTTCGACTCGAGCGGCCTTCAGGGCATAGCCGCTATCGACGAGACCCAAGACACCTCCGGCGCTTCGTCTTACCACACAACGGCTGAGGACCCGAGCCCGCCGAGCCAAGTGGCGTCCGTATTTGGCAACGGGTCTGGTTCCATGTCCGACTCACAATCCACTCCGCTGTCGCCTGACAGCGGTGCGCTCGACGACTGGCGTGCCGTTGCCAACGACTTGTCCGCCGATGGAACGAGCACGCTCACTGTCCTTCGAGATGCGTTCCCGACGGTGAAGGAATCGGATATTAGGAAAGCCCTCAAGGAAAGCGGCGATGACGTGGACAGGGCATCCGATGTCCTGCTCAACTTGGAGCATCTTATTGAGACAGGCCAGCGTCCCAAAGGGATCGATGCCTTCGCCGTCGACGACGTTGCCGCCGAGTGGAACCAGAACAAGAAGAACAAGAAGCGGGACGCGAACATCGCGTGGCCAAAGAACAGCCACGAGAAACGGCTGCACGTTAACTACAAGCTCGCGCCGGCGGGCTTCGACGGCGTGTATGAAATCGACGACGGGAAAACGCCCGCTCCGAAGCGCGGCTCATCCAAGCCGTTCTGGGACACCACGGCACGCGAACGACGCCAAGGAGATGACGAGCGCGCACTCTATGACAGAATAGTCGACGAACAAAGCAAGGGCGATAATATCGTCGATCTCCACAATGTTCCCGTCAAGCATGGCATTAAGATCGCCCTGGAACGCACCCGCTATTGGTGGGCGCATTTGGGCGAAGACCGCATCCGCAAGGCGCAAGACCACCCGTTTCGCATCGTCACGGGCATCGGGCTGCACAGCCCCGAAGGTTATTCTCGGATGTACAGCGACGTCGAGCGAGCTCTCAAGAACGAGGGCTGGAAGTTCAATGATGGCTATGGCTATTACGATATCAGAGGCAAAGCGGCCAAAGAAAGGACGTCGTAGAGCAGACGAACTTGCTGATCCCGTTAGTGCATACTGACGATATTGACGACGTCATGCGATAAAACGACTTTTGATTTTGCAACCGAGTTGGAGAGCAAACTGGAGCATTGAAATGCGTTGTTTCCAGGGAAGCGAACCAGGGCTTTTTATACCACCAAGCGACACCCTCATAACGCAGCGTTTTGTCTTGTCTTTTCTGTTCTAGGTTTTTTTCCACATGTTATCTGGTCTCGGATTTAAGCAGGACAACATGTAACATGTACCATGCGTCTTTCAGCGAAAACTCGAAGCCATACCAATACAACATACATAAATAAATTCGGGCAGTAAAAAGCTCGGTTTCATCACGTGGACCGCAGGCCAGGCCGCTAACGCCCGATTTGACCCCTATCAGCACTAAAGGTGCAACATTAGAACGAAAAGTGACTCACAGTTTTATTGCGGGGCAATCCTTTTCTGCGGAGTTCTGGATTATTAACACTGCAAAACAGCCAAAAACGGCCAAAAACGGCCCAAAAAAGCGCCGACTGGGCCTGTGCCAACGTCATAACCCTGTTTTTAAGCTTTCGCTGTGACCTGTAACACGGGATGTCCACTGAGCCGCTCCTTCCATTCCCCACCACCACCGCCCAGCGTCGACACCAAAGACAGACTTCCTATTTTGGTCTGAGAGGGCAACGTGGGCCTGGATGCCTTGCGAGCCAAGAGCGCTGGCTACCTGGGTCGTGCTTACCTTTGTCACGGTGCATCGCAGTATCTTGGTTTAACAGTGCGTCGGTGGTAGCGGTCGCGCCTTCTGTGCAAGCCCCTTTTCTGTCAAATCCTCGGCCGAGGAAGCGGTGCATTCCCACTGTTCGCACCTGCCACATGCCATGCCACCCCGTAGGACTTTACGCGCGTCGATGGCTGTGTGATGCGGAGGAAGGAACGCCCAAGATAAGACGACCAGTCAGCACAGCATGACCTAATTATCTGGGCGCTTCCAGGCTGTCGTTCTTTTTCTAGTTGTTGTTAGTGCCATTCTGTCGCTTCCTCGTCTCTTGTCTCCAGTTAAGTCCGACCCTTTGACGTCGTATGGCCGTCGAGACCAAAGAAGAGAGAGGGCGAGACGATCGCAGCTGCCACCGCCAGATCAGAAAAATTCCTTCTTGTTCTTGCCCTTTTTGGTTCTTTCCAATTCTCTTTCGCCTTTTCACCAACTCTCCTTCCTCGTTTTCCATCGTCTTCCGTCAATCGAACTGTTTTCCTTCGTCGATTCTTCGACCCGCCTCTACCGCGCCTTCCTCGACCACCGCTAAAACCAACGACCTCCGATTTCTTCTGAACCCCATCAGCATTGTCGGCATCCTCCCTTCTCAGCATTTCGCACCCTGCATTCCGCATTCCTCTGTTCTATTTGTATTTCTTGGACTTTTTTCGTATTCTTCGCATTCTCCATCCTCCCTTTGCACGCGCAGTCAATTGCGCATCGTTGCATCGTTTGCATCGCATCTTCGTGAGCGCGGGGTCTGGTCTTGACGTTTCATGAGCTGTTCAAACTCACCACATTTGGCCAAGTTAACTTTCTCTCGTCTTCACGACTTCTTTGTTCTTCGCATCGTGCGTTTTGACCCAAGGACATCGCCTTTCTCAATTCTTAACATTTCGACCCCTCGCCGTTACGCTTCCATTTCGCTGCATACCCGGACTGATTCGTCGCGCAAATCCTTGATCCTTGCGCGTAATCAAGACTGCTGTCGATAGGGAAATTGCCCGGGACGACGACGAACGACCTATACGCAGTACTCGAAATACCTTTGGTGTCGCTGGGCGTGCTCTGGGAAGCGAGCTCGCCTAGTTTCTTCAGTCCAAGGCAGAGCTCTCTCGCGTCTGCCTGCCCCGCGCCTGGTTTGGCTTTGCAATATTTTCCAAGAAAT